ATGTTGCAAGACAACGGAACAAAAACCACCCGTTACACTTATTCTCTCTAAACGGGAGAAAGTTTAGCGTAATTATCATCTGAGGTCAGGCGCTAACTACCGCTTTGCGCCCGATTTGTAAGCTCACTCAAGCTAGAATGCATTACTTTTAAAGTAGCTTAGTTTGCATTTTATTATCTATCATTGTACAGTATTATTTTGCGATTGTAAGTGGCTCCGTAATTCAGCCTTATACACAACTCGATCCTCGATCCTCGATCCTCAATCATCGAAACTCGAGACTCGATTCTCTAGACGCGAGACTCGATCCTCGAGAGACTGTCAACTTACTTTTGAACGGTACTGTATGTATCATGTATCATGTGTTGCTGCAATAAGTTTATTTTAACCTACGGACGTACCGGGGGCTGGAGGGGGTGATGATTGATCCCCCCCCCTCCCTTTCGCCCCTCGGTGGTTTTTTGGAGTTTTTTCCTAGACGAGAAAACATCAGCACCTGACGTTTTCAGTAGCTGTTCGTTTATCCCTCGCGCGTATTTTGAGACACGTTTAGTGATGGTCAGTTACTATGGTTACGAGATATGACATCATAAGTAGCAGGTGATCAAGCCATATTTGAGTGAAAATACATGTTTTTCAACTTCTTTTAGCAATAGAAGTGTAAAGCTGGTGGATAAAATGATGCAAAGTACCTATTTATGTGTTATTTTACATGTTAAGCACAAAACCATTATCAGTTCTCGCGGTTTTTACCTGATTTCTAATTCTTGATAAAATCTAAGATGGTGACCATGTTTGTTGACGTCACAGGCCTCCAGCAGCGCCACCACCCATAAAATATATCCCCGGAGTAGTCAATCGATAAAAATCGATAGCAATCAAGTGATCGATTGATAACGGAAATCGATGAAAATCGATAAACTAAATTGCTGTGTCAAATCGATATTATCGATTTGTCGTGATTTTAACGATTTATAACGGTAAGTCCGACATTGTTGTTGTTTTTTTTTGGCATCAGTTAAATAGTACAGCTGAGAAAACACATCCACGAATAACAACTGATCAACAAACAAGAAAAGTGGAAACTATTACAAACACAAAATTCTCTCTAAAAACCGTGACCCTTTTGTACATAATAACAGAAACGGTTCGGTTTAATTACATTCACAGTTCTCGCAGGCGAGTACCACGAGAAATACAACGTTTAGATAAAAGATTTCCGAGCCTGAATTTCAGACATTCTCTAGAGTCGAAGGGATGCACAAAATTCAGACTAAAAGCCTTCTCTGGATAACTTTTCACCGTTTTCCGTTTACAATCGATAAAATCACTTCATCGCTAACCCTAACCCTGACTACTCCTTTAATAGACCATTTCCGCGTTGCCCAATGCCTCTGTTTCAAAGCGAGGCTAAGTGCAAAGCTATTGATATGACAATAAATTTTTATTCTCATGCATTTCCACAACTTGACGTCGTTTGTAAGTGAGATTTTATGGAACAAAGATGTGGGCTACTGCATTCTCGCACTTTTTTAGAATTAAAAATGCAAAAAGCCAGGGATCAATTCTTGCCTTAAAGTTGCTTCACCCTTTTATTCGTAAGAGAGTGCGAAAGATAACAATAGGGCCTTCTAGCTCCGGTATTTAACAAAGTGCTAAACACAATACTCATTAGCTCTTATTTAAACTCATATTATTAATTTTACATTCTGTATTACAATTTACCCTCCCGGAATGAACCCATGACCATTTTTTTGGAATTCAATTCATGCGAAGACTTATGCTACCTTTTCAGAAAGATACCAAATAGCGTGCTACTACATGCAATAGAGCACGTAACTGTATATCACGCTAATTGCGTGATATAGTCAACCGTACTTAGCATCTGGAAACCACTTGCTACTGGAACAAAACTACGCACTCTCTAATCAAGCCTCCTTATTCGTTAATTTGCAACGGCGATGAAAAATACTAAGAAAAAAACCCTGACATTGTTTTCTTCTTTCCAAGTTGTGATATCCGTAATGTTTTTCATTCTGGGATTGATGGACGGACTTGAAATCCGCTTTGTAAATGTTAGCCTCATGTTTTCGCGATGTTGGATTGTTCCTCTGGTAAGTGAATTTTGTCTGTTCTTTAATCATATATTTGTCAGGCACTTAAATCTTTTTAAGATTATATTTTGTCGTGGATAAAGATATTATCGCTCCTATGATGGTACACGTTAAGAGAAAACCTTCTGAACTCGTCGCTATGGAATATTAACCGACTTTAGTGTGTGTATTCATTAGCTTATATTAGGAAGTCTGTGTTTTTCTTGTTCTGCTAAAACGAAAGAAATTTGCGAAAACTAGTTCTTACTTTCGCCGTTCAAAATGTGCCACTAATATGCTGTAAAATAACTAATCTTTTAAGTGCACCCTTAAAGGTCTAAGTTTCTAACTGCCAATGCTCTCGATGGATCCTAATATCTGTTTTTTGCATTAAGAAATCGTATTGAGCTTCAGCGATTAATAATTATATTCAGTCATTTCTATATAATTATCATCATCATCATCATCATTAATATCATTATCATTCCCCTCAGCAAAGTAAAATAGTCTCTCATAAGCGGACACCTCGTGGCCGCTTTCGAGAATGGTTCTCATTAATGGCCAATATAGATGTAAGGCTAAAATGGCCGCTTACGAGAGCTTGCTTAACTACAAATAAACGTTCGAAATAATAAAAAAAAAAACAGATAGAAAACTGTTTTTTTAGTTTTTGCCTACTACGTAATTGTCGATCTGACAATGTTGTAATTCAGTCACAAGCATAAATTTAAGTCTTTTAGTGGACAGACATGATTGTGAAAAAAAAAAGAAAGAAAATACTGAAAGTGATATAAATTCATGGCGACGAACAGCGATATCAAGTTGACGCATTAAGATACAGTACTTACCCGCTTATAAGAACCTATGATTTATAAATTTCTTATGTAAATGGCGACGAACAAATATATTATACATCTGCGATATAGATACATTCAGTATCAAGCTAAAACTAAAAGTTCATGTATTAATATATTCCAATGAAATAGATATGATATATATACGTCCATTAATAAAATGTTTTTTTTTGACAGAAGAAGTTATAACAAACATTTTCCATGAAATTCAAATTTTAGGCTAAACAGGTTCTTATGAAAATGGGGTCGTTGACAGGTTCTTATAAGCGGGTAAGTACTGTACAAGATTCAGAGGCGAATGCGTGACGGCGGAAGTCGGAAGCTAGGGTGGAAGTTGGAAATGGGAAGTCGGAACTCGGAAGACCCTCTTACGCTTTGAATGAGATTTAATTTCAGGTTTCTACTTAAAGGATCTTAAATAAAAAGCTAAAATCTAAATCGTAAACCCTGAAAGTGACGTCGGCCGCCATTAACGGTTAAGTTAATTATAATTCTTACTGTGGGAGTTTTTTCCCTTAGGTTGTTTAAAGGGGTTATGGCACTAGGATATTGCTGTTGTGTGTTAATTGTGTGTTGAAGTCATTACATAGTGCCTTAAGCCATACACAAAATTCTCCTCAAACGGTCGAGTTAGGAAGAAGATATAAAAAAGCGCTAGCCATAACACGTTTTTTGGTGAGTTTCAGCAAGTGAAATCTGGCTTGACTATTACAAGGTTTAATCCACGACAGACGACAGAAAACATTTTAAATCGGCCTAATTATAGTCTTAAAAAACAAAACTGGTCCATTATTGTCAGAATTCAATTGATGCAAAGGCAGTTTAACTTTTAAGAAAATAGCGTGACTTGAACAGCTGTAAGCAGGGCGGATAAATGTTGGGCAGTGAAACGAGCGCTCCGCTCTTCATTTAATGTGTGATGCGGAGTAGGACTGGCACAAGCGCTCTTTCCGCGCTTCCGATGCGCTTGAAGGCCCGGCGAAATTTTCCTTTTTGCAAACCGGAAATGCTATTTTCTTTCTGTAATTTCAGGCTACAATGTTAAATAGATAAATTCGTTTCATAAAAATATCTATAAACATTTCATATGTTTGTGTCTGTATGCCTATAAGTCAAACTTGTTGGTCGTATAATGCCAAAATTTGAGTTTAATTTGAAAGTGTTGAATAGCTTCTCCTGCCACTAAATATCACCTAATAGTCTTTCGCCGTTTCGTTTGCAAAAGCTTAACACTTCTTAACCTCAATTTTTACATATGTTAAAGGGGGATAAATTTTATATAACATAACAAAAAATTAGATTGATATATTTTGACATAGTGGCGTTGTACTGCTTCAAACTTTGCTTCTCGGGTGCAACACGCCATGGCGATTCGCGCAATGCGTCGCAAATCCGGCAACCGAGTGTAAACAAAATTTATTGAGGTTAGTTGTCAGGTTTTTTCTCCGTTTTCCTCTCTAAAACAAAACAAGGTAAACAGTAAAAGCTGAAGGGAAACTAATTTTGTAGTTTCGAAGAAACAGAAAGACGTATGAGATGTTTTTTTCAAAATTAAACAGAAGGATGATGGTTATTTAAATTAGCATAATTTCACCTTGCACGAGCTGCACGCATTTATAAAATACACGTCATCTAGTTATGAAACACGATCTGCTGTCTTTTAGTTTCGCGATGGATGACATCGATGAGATTTTCCTTCGTGTTTTAGACAGTACATAGTTGTTTTTGTTTTGGAATAACATCGACATTGGCGAGTAGTAGAACGAAAATATAAGTCAGTGGTAGAGTCATGGAAGAAATAAGAGAAACCCTTTGAAAGAGATGTTTGTCTACTCCAACTAAACCTCCCGCAAAAATAGCAACATTTGCCTCTCGGAAACAGCATACCGGCACAAAGGAACGAGGAAGAAGTGCAAGAAAACAAAATCAAGCCGCCATAATTCAGTGACAGCGGCAGTGTCTAATGGACAAACCACATCGCAAACCCTGACCGAAGTCGAAAAACAAGCGACATTTCTAAACAGAGTCCCAGTCCACTGCATCACACCTTTTTGCTCGGACATGCTCGTCTCACCGCCCAACCTTTATCTGCCCTGGCTGTAAGATAATATACGTATGACGTCACCGTATTTTTAATTTATTCTTCAACAGGCACTTCCTTGTGCTGCAAGAAAACTGCGCTGTCTAAACAAGCTTCGATTCCTCATTTGTTAATTTGCAACTGCAATGGAAAATACTAACAAGAGAACCCTGACATTGTTGTCCTCTTTCCAAATTGCGATATCCGTCTTATTTTTCGTTCTGGGATTGGTGGACAAACTTGAAATCCGCTATCTGTATGTTAGCCTCGCGGCTTCGCCATGTTGGATTATTCCTCTGGTAAGTCAGTGCCTCTGATTTCTACCTGTTTCTAAATTTATCAATGACTTAACTCTTTGTAAGATTATATCTCGTCATGGATAAAGGTTTTACTACTTCAGTGATGATACAAGTGAAGAGAAAACCTTCTGAACTTTTTGCCTTGGGATCTTATTTTGATCTGTATGTTTACAAGTAATTCATCTGATTCGGTAGGAGTAGTCGTCTCGCTTTCACAGAGAACAGGTCAAACAACAGAAACCAATTTGCGAAAGCTCATAATTGTTATTCCAATTATTCTTCTATTCAATTACAAAACATTTGGAAAGTGCACTTAAAAAGTTCTATGTTTTCGACTGCCAATGTCTCGATGGATCTGTCAATATACTTCCCGTCTTGCCGCTAAGTGTTTTCAGCGAAGGGTAGGCTTGGATAAATTCTTCCGGCAGAATTTCGAGCAGAATAAGCGATTTTTGAGGCGAGCATTCTGCCGGTAGAATAAGGCATTTGCGAGCAGAATTTGAGCAGAATAAGGGGAAATCAGCGGCAGTAATGATATGCATATCAGTTGAAAGAAAAATTTAAAACAAAATAAAAAACACACGGAAAATAATTACAATTCTGCAACACATAATGAATATCTAATTAGGTTTTAATGGTTAGGTCGAGGCTCCCCTCTATATTTGCGCAAATAAACATGTGCCGAAAATTTTTTTCCGATACCGAGCAGAATTCGAGCAGAATAAGGGCGTCCGAGCAGAATTTTAAGCAGAAAAAGCGATTTTTAAGAGCACTGCTGGCAGGCGGAATAAGCCATTTTAAGAGCAGAATTTATCGAAGCCTAACGAAAGTTCGGAAGCTCGTTATGTTGGGAAAAATGCAAGTATGGTTACAGTAACTAGTTATTTTATACGAATAAAGCCCGTGTTTTTTTCCACTTAATTGTGAACGAACTCGCCAAATACGACAAGAAACATCTCAGAAGTTTGATCGACGCCGTTATTACAGTAAAAACACGCGTATAAGAACCTAGTGAGTTAAGATCCTACTGGCTGGAATTTGGCATTTAAGTACCCAAAAATATAAGAACCTTTTCAGCCTGGCAAAGGAAAACAGGTTCTTATACAAAAATAATCACTTCAATTTTGATGGTCAAAATTCTCGATTTTAATTTTGTGAGAAACTTTTGACAAAAGGTTATTGTGAATATGTTTTCTTTGATTTACACTTGTTTGGATTTTCACTAGAAGTATGTTTTCCATAAAGCTACCGTGCAATATAGACGATTCTATATCTTTTAAAAAATATAGAGACGCATTGATGTTCTTCTTGGACCTTGATTGTTTGTCATTATGTATTAGTAGTACAATATTTCTGCTAATGGTTATGCTATGACAACCTCTGAAAAATAAGAACCTTTTAAGAACCTAATCAGCCTGAATTGTGAAAAACTACCCTAAAATATAAGAACCTGTTCAGCTTGAGGTCAAAAATTCTAGGTTCTTATATGTGGGTTTTTACCGTATTTGGATTATTCCACACAATTTGAGCAATTTCGTTCGTACCGTGCGCTGACATTCCGCAAGTTGGCTTATTTACGCATTTGCAAACTACTCCAATGTTAAGGATGCGAACGACTCCGCACATATAATACTAAAAGCAACCTTATATTGCCGCAAAGAAACCTCCGGCGCTTTTCATTCAAAAATTGCGGTTTGAAATTTTTCACGTTCCCAATGGAACGGTACTTTCCGGTTGCACAGACCCGACCCAAGCCACCGCGCGTTTGGTTATTGTTCTTGTAAGCAGGATTCAAAAGAGCGGTACTGGAGACAACAATTTTGTCAAATAGAAAGGGAAATTTCGGTCCGACCGACCGAAATGACCAGACCGGTCAAAGTAGACCACCTTCAAAGGTGGTGCCAAACATTCCGGTCGGACCGAGCCGAAATGGTCTGTTCCATTTGATTTCCAACCGAAATTTCCGGAATTTTGGGTTGAGTGGAAAGCGCCCGAAGGGTTATGATGACACAATGACGATGGCAATGATAGAAAAACAATGTCTTTTTAAAGAGAAAAACTACAGCACTGCAAGTACACTGCTAAACAGTCGGTTTTTTTTTCTCAAAATAGGCTTAGCGCAGCTTAAGAGTCTCACGCCCGAAGCGCGCCAAGCCCAGAAAAAAAGCGTCTCTCCCCAGTGTCGCACCTTTTTCGGCCTTGCTCCAGACCTTTTGTTTGACTGCTCGCGAGAACTTGAACGCCAAAATATGGATTGTTTTGCAGTCGGTCTACACTGCAAGTGAATAACGCTTTTTTTATTATCGTCTACAACGTGAAACGTTCTAATGCGACGTGAGGACAAGGACAACGAATTTCCTGTCTCGTTGTAAACCTGGGCGTGGTCCTTAAAAAGTCACTTTCTACAGAGACATTTGGCTACATTAAATAATGTATATTGACAAACTAGGCAAGGCTAAATAAACACAATAGACAGGTTGAAATAAGGCAAGTTCATTTTAGTAACGTTTTCACTCACTGTTGTCTCTGCGGTAGAAATACGCTATGGCTCATGCTAAGTCAATGATAGTGTTACATAATAAATTTTCTTTAATGATCTTTATATCATCTATATACATGTCAGTCTAATAGCCCACGTTCGATATGTCAAAATTCTGACATGACTCCAAGGCTTTCTGGTCATATAGGACACTCACGCTGACGACTCCTATTGATATTGATGTGCCAACCAGAAGCGCATTGGTTCTTTTACTAGACTTCACCTCTTTTGTTTCACTCGTTACGAATTTAAATAAGCAGTGATGACCCCTATATTTGTCATTGGTTTGGTCTTCTTGGTGTCTCTTCCGCGGGAATAAAGGGGGACAATGGAAGTCAAGTTAGAATTTTGATAGACCGACCGTTGGCTAATATACATTTATTTTAATTTTTTGTTTATTTTTCGCTTATCGGTATATACAGCTGTACATATCCACTTCAGGATGTGTATATGTCGATAGGAGTTATTTTGTTAACAGTGTCCCCAGTTAGTATTTTAGCTATATAAATCGTCTGATTCTCCAACGAAATACTTGAATACATATAAAAATAATGTATATAAGTATGTATTTCATTCTGTTCTTTGTATTTACTGTTCAGACTCTTGCAAATGGCATCATGGGACTTGTTTTAAGCCAAAGCCGTAAAAGATCTGCAAATCTGGTAAGATTTTCTCGATAAGCACTCGTAAACGCCTGACAGACGAAAGTAATTTGTTCACACAGCCAAGTCCCACAAACCAGTCAAAACCTACAGAACTGAAAATGGTATTTTGACCTTTTAATTGCGTTTAGTTCTCCGTATGCACGCCTTATACTTCAAATGCGGAGAACCGCTTTATGTCAGTCTAAAAATAAACGCCGTGACGTAGGCCTAGTGTGAGAGTTGCTCGCTCCATGTTATAAACTCCTGATATGTGCCTATTCAAAAGTGCAACTTGTTCTTTTAAATAACATTACTGAGTCATCTCTGTAGTAAACTTTATAATTTATTGATTTCAATCTCTTTAGATCCATGCTATTTGGTCGGTTAGCGTGGCATGTATTATCTACTCCGCTATTACAGTACTCAGGTATCAGACTTGGGGGGTCGAGTGGCTGATGCATAATATTATCACCGATACCTCAGGCATCTACCAAACTGAAAAATGGTGGTTTGTAAAGAAAAATGTCCAGCTGAAGTACACTGAGCAGGAAAATAAGGCATTTGCTGTATTTGGCATCATCATTGTGTTCTCCATGATTGAAATTATCCTGGCTGCTGCTTTGGCAAAAGTCAGCGATTCAAGCCACAAGGGGGCTCAACAGCCTGCCATCCCTATGTACTATGGGATGTACTATCAGGTACGGCAAAAATGGCATTGTGAAATGTAACCATCCTATGAAACAGACATGTGTTTTTTTAGTCTAATTATTACACTTCTGTCATAAATGGGGCGGGGGAGGGGCATAGACGTTGCAGTCGCTTAATCCTTAAGATTTCGCTTAAGATTTCGTATGGGTGGGTCTGTCAAGCAAATTGATTCAATTACACCGACCTGGTAGCGGCAACTGGGAAGAATTGTGGTCTGGCCTGTATCTGACGAATTATTGGAAACAAATATAAACTTATTGATGGACAGTTAGCCTTGCTTTTTTCACTGTTTACTCACAAAAACATTTTGCTGGCTTGATCCATTAGGATCTGGCATCTTTGTTTTGCACGTTAGCATTTGCTATTTATTTACAAGATATTTTTTAACTGCATACTACTATTACTACATGCTTTGCAACAGCCTTTGTTTACTAATGTACAGTTATAAATGATTAGAATTTCACAACGAATTCGCAAACAGAAGAAGAAATGAAATAACAAAGTAACTTTATTCGTCTCTTTTCCTTTAACAGCCAGTTGGCCAAGTCAGTGGGTTCCCGGGACAAACCAGTGCAGACACTGGCTCCGGCGCACGCCTAATTTCTGCCCAGGATATGCAACCTGCTCATAATAACATTTCTCCTCATTAGAAGTAAAAGACGCTTTCTATGAATTTTTTTGCGGAAATACTATTCTCTACTGAAAGGCTTTGCTGCTGCCATGGACAAATCAGCTTCATTGTTAACGTTGATCTAGCTGTAGTGTGAGCTATAATTTACCTTCCACAAATTGGTAATATAGATTAGGATTACTTTGTGTTATCTTGATTGCAATCTTGGCCCCAGTTGTTTCCGTCTTCCTCCCGCTAAAAGGAATTACGGAAAGCAGAAACTTTTTTATCAATGCGCTAAGGAATGGAACATTTTAGACGCATTTTTTAAAGAAATTAACTCTCTTCTTCTTTTTAAACAGAACACTAAAAGCTATAAATTGTAGATATTTTATTGCTTTTAAAATTTTAATCTATCTGACATTTTAACATGTTTAACCTGTAGCTTGTATAATTTAGGTTTTTAGTTCTTAACTTTTTACTTATTATTACTGTTACGCATTCATTTATCTAATTATAAGATCATTTATTTTTTTCTATTGTTTTACAGGGCCTCACTGAATATCAGTCTTTGTGAAGTGAGCTCCCTGTATAAAGATTGTTACTTATTATTATTATTATTATTATTATTACTATTATTATTATTACTAAGTTGGATAGCGTTATCCACCTTTTGAACAACTGGGGCCTGGATGAAACGTCCTTGGGACAGTGATGCAATATTCGTTATAACCTGTAATTTCTGGATACCCTCATGAAACAGCGTTTGACGAGAAAACATCAGCACCCGACGTTTTCAGTAGCTGTTCGTTTATCCCTCGCGCGTATTTTGAGACACTTTTAGTGATGGTCAGTTACTATGGTTACGAGATATGACATCATAAGTAGCAGGTGGTCAAGCCATATTTGAGTGAAAATACATGTTTTTCAACTTCTTTTAGCAATAGAAGTGTAAAGCTGGTGGATAAAATGATGCAAAGTACCTATTTATGCGTTATTTTACATGTTAAGTACAAAACCATTATCAGTTCTCGCGATTTTTACCTGATTTCTAATTCTTGATAAAATCTAAGGTGGTGACCATGTTTGGTGACGTCACAGGCCTCTAGCAGCGCCACCAACCATAAAATATAACCCAGGAGTAGTCAATCGATAAGGGAAGGACCATTAGAAAAGTTATAGGGGGGGGGGGGGGGGGCGTCGAAGTACAAAAAAAATATTCGCGCATGCGAAAATTAAATGAAAAAAATTCATGCACGCCAGTTAATCCTAAAAAATATTTATGCTTTGGCCTAAAAAAAATTCATACAAGGAATTTGAAGACGAACAAAAATTCTTGCGGCTTGACAATTCCCCTCCCCAACCCCCAACCCCCAATAACTTTTCTAATGGTCCGTCCCTAAAAATCAGTATCGATAAAAATCGATAGCAATCAAGTGATTTTGATCGATTGATAGCGGAAATCGATGAGAATCGATAAACTAAATTGCTGTGTCAAATCGATATTATCGATTTTTCATGATTTTAACGATTTATGACGGTAAGTCCGACATTGTTGTTGTTTTTTTGGCATCAGTTAAATAGTACAGCTGAGAAAACACATCCACGAATAACTACTGATCAACAAACATAAAAAGAAGAATAGTAGAAACTATGACAGACACAAAATTCTCTCTAAAAACCGTGACCCTTTTTGTACATAATAACAGAAACGGTTCGGTTTAATTACATTCACAGTTCTCGCAGGCAAGTACCACGAGAAATACAACGTTTAGATAAAAGATTTCCGAGCCTGAATTTCAGACATTCTCTAGAGTCGAAGGGATGTTTGAAATTCAGACTAAAAGATTTCTCTGGATAACTTTTCACCGTTTTCCGTTAAAAATCGATAAAATCACTTCATCGCTAACCCTAACCCTGACCACTCCTTTAATAGGCCATTTCCGCGTTGCCCCATGCCTCTGTTTCAAAGCGAGGCTAAGTGCAAAGCTATTGATATGACAATAAATTTTTATTGTCGTGCATTTCAACAACTTGACGTCGTTTGTAAGTGAGAGTTTATGGAACTAAGATGAGGGCTACTGCATTCTCGCACTTTTTTAGAAGTAAAAAGGAAAAAGCCAGGAACTATTTCTTGTCTGAAAGGTTCTTCACCTCCCCTTATTTGTTAGAGAGGACGAAAGATAACAATAGGTTTTCTAATTTTTTTGGCCCTCTAGCTTCGGTATTTAACAAAGTGCTAAACACAATACTCATTAGCTCTCATTTAAACTCATATTATTAATTTTACATTCTGTATTACAATTTACCTTCACCGAATGAACCCATGACCATTTTTTTAGAATTCAATTCATGCGAAGACCTATGTTAGCTTTTCAGAAAGATTCCAGATAGCGTGCTACTACATCCGTTGGAGCACGTAACTGTAAATCACGCTAATTGCGTGATATAGTCAACCGTACTTAGCATTTGGAAACCACTTGCTACTGGAAAAAAACTACGCACTCTCTAACCAAGCCTCCTTATTCGTTAATATGCAACGGCGATGGAAAATACTAAGAAAAGAACCTTGACATTATTGTCTTCTTTCCAAATTGTGATATCCGTAATGTTTTTCATTCGGGATTGATGGACGGACTTGAAATCCGCTTTGTAAATGTTAGCCTCATGTTTTCGCAATGTTGGATTGTTCCTCCGGTAAGTGAATTTTGTCTGTTTTCTAATTTGTCAGGCACTTAAATCGTTTTAAGATTATATTTTGTAGTTGATAAAGATATTATCGCTCCTATGATAGTACAAGTTAAGAAAAAACCTTCTGAACTCGTCGCTATTAGCTTATATTAGGACGTCTGTGTTTTTCTTGGTCTGCTCAAACAAAAGAAATTTGCGAAAACTAATTCTCACTTTCACTGTTCAAAATATGGCACTAATATGCTGTAAAAGTGCACCTTTAAAGGTTTAAGTTTCTAACTGCCAATGCTCTCGATGGATCCTAATATCTGTTTTTCTGCATTAAGAAATCTTATTGAGCTTCAGTGCTAAATAATTATATTCAGTCATTTCTATATAATTATCATCATCATCATCATCATCATTACCAATAAATATCATTATCATTCCCCTCAGCCAAGTAAAATAATCTCTCGTAAGCAGACATCTCTCGGGGCCGCTTTCGAACTTTTCTCATTAATGGCCAGTATAGATGTAAGGGTAAAATGACCGCTCTGTTTTTTAGTGTTTGCCTACTATGCAATTGTCGTTCTGACAATGTTGTAATTCAGACACTAGCATAAATTTCAAGTCTTTAAGTAGACAGACATGTTTGTGAAAAAAAAAAAGAAAAAGAAAATAGGTTGTTTAAAGGGGTTATGGCAATAGGACATTGCTGTTTTGTGTCAATTATGTGTTGAAGTCATTCTTAGTGCCTTAAGCCATACACAAAATTCTCCTCAAACGGTCGAGTTAGGAAGAAGATATAAAAAAGCGCTAACCATAACACGTTTTTTGGTGAGTTTCAGCAAGTGAAATCTGGCTTGACTATTGCAAGTTTTAATCCACGACAGACGACAGAAAACAGTTTAAATCGGCCTAATTATAGTCTTAAATAACAAAACTGGTCCATTATTGTCAGAATTCAATCGATGCAATTTTAAGAAAATAGCGTGACTTGAACAGCTGTAAGATAATGTGCGTATGACGTCACCTATTTTAAATTTATTCTTCAACAGACACTTCCTTGTGCTGCAAGAAAACTGCTCTGTCTAAACAAGCTTCGATTCCTCATTTGTTAATTTGCAACTGCAATGGAAAATACTAACAAGAGAACCCTGACATTGTTGTCTTCTTTCCAAATTGCGATATCCGTCTTATTTTTCGTTCTGGGATTGGTGGACAAACTTGAAATCCGCTATCTGTATGTTAGCCTCGCGGCTTCGCCATGTTGGATTATTCCTCTGGTAAGTCAGTACCTCTGATTTCTACCTGTTTCTAAATTTATCAATGACTTAACTGTTTGTAAGATTATATCTCGTCATGGATAAAGGTTTTACTACTGCAGTGATGGTACAAGTGAAGAGAAAACCTTCTGAACTTTTTGCTTTGGGATCTTATTTTGATCTGTATGTTTACAAGTAATTCATCTGATTCGGTAGGAGTGGTCGTCTCGCTTTCACAGAGAACAGGTCAAACAACAGAAACCAATTTGCGAAAGCTCATAATTGTTATTCCAATTATTCTTCTATTCAATTACAAAACATTTGGAAAGTGCACTTAAAAAGTTCTATGTTTTCGACTGCCAATGTCTCGATGGATCTGTCAATATACTTCCCGTCTTGCCGCTAAGTGTTTTCAACGAAGGGTAGGCTTGGATAAATTCTTCCGGCAGAATTTCGAGCAGAATAAGCGATTTTTGAGGCGAGCATTCTGCCGGTAGAATAAAGCATTTGCGAGCAGAATTTGAGCAGAATAAGGGGAAATCAGCGGCACTAATGATATGCATATCAGTGGAAAGAAAAATTTAAAACAAACTAAAAAACACAGGAAAAATAATTACAATTCTGCAACACATAATGAATATCTAATTAGGTTTTAATGGTTAGGTCGAGGCTCCCCTCTATATTTGCGCAAATAAACATGTGCCGAAAATTTTTTTCCGATACCGAGCAGAATTCGAGCAGAATAAGGGCGTCCGAGCAGAATTTTAAGCAGAAAAAGCGATTTTTACGAGCACTGCTGGCAGGCGGAATAAGCCATTTTAAGAGCAGAATTTATCGAAGCCTAACGAAAGTTCGGAAGCTCGTTATGTTGGGGAAAATGCAAGTATGGTTACAGTAACTAGTTATTTTATACACATAAAGCCTGTGTCTTTTTCCACTTAATTGTGAACGAACTCGCCAAATACGACAAGAAACATCTCAGAAGTTTGATCGACGCCGTTATTACAGTAAAAACACGCGCATAAGAACCTAGTGAGTTAAGATCCTACAGGCTGGAATTTGGCATTTAAATACCCAAAAATATAAGAACCTTTTCAGCCAGGCAAAGGAAAACAGGTTCTTATACAAAAATAATCACTTCAATTTTGATGGTCAAAATTCTCGATTTTAATTTTGTGAGAAACTTTTGACAAAAGGTTATTGTGTATATGTTTTCTTTGATTTACACTTGTTTGGAATTTCACTAGAAGTATGTTTTCCATAAAGCTACCGTGCAATATAGACGATTCAATATCTTTAAAAAATGTAGAAACGCATTGATGTTCTTCTTGGACCTTGATTGTTTGCCATTATGTATTAGTAGTCAATATTTCTGCTAATGGTTACGCTAAGACAACCTCTGAAAAATAAGAACCTTTTAAGAACCTAATCAGCCTGAATTGTGAAAAACTACCCTAAAATATAAGAACCTGTTCAGCCTGAGGTCAAAAATTCTAGGTTCTTAAATGTGGGTTTTTACTGTATTTGGATTATTCCACACAATTTCAGCAATTTCGTTCGTACCCTGCGCTGACATTCCGCAAGTTGGCTTATTTACGCAATCAGTTGCAAACTACTCCAATGTTAAGGATGCGAACGACTCCGCACATATAATACTAAAAGCAACTTTATATTGCGGTAAAGAAACCTCCGGCGCTTTTCATTCAAAAATTGCGGTTTGAAATTTTTCACGTTCCCAATGGAACGGTACATTCCGGTTGCGCAGACCCGACCCAAGTCACCGCGCGTTTGGGTATTGTTCTTGTAAACAGGATTCAAAAGAGCGGTACTGGGGACAACAATTTTGTCAACCGAAATGACCAGACCGGTCAAAGAAGACCACCTTCATTCCGGTCCGACCGACCGTTTGACCGACCGTTTGTTCCATTTCATTTCTAACCGAAATTTCCGGAATTTTGGGTTGAACGGAAAGCGCCCGAATGGTATAATGACACAATGACGATGGCAATGATAGAAAAACAATGTCTTTTTAAAGAGAAAAACTACAGCACTGCAAGTAGACTGCTAAACAGTCGGTTTTTTTTTCTCAAAATCGGTTTAGCGCAGCTTATAAGAGGCGCGCCAAGCCCAGAAAAAAAGCCTTGCTCCAGACCTTTTGTTTGACTGCTCGCGAGTACTTGAACGCCAAAATATGGATTGTTTTGCAGTCGGTCTACACTGCAAGTGAATAACGCTTTTTTCATTATCGTCTACAACGTGAAACGTTCTAATGCGACGTGACGACAAGGACAACGAATTTCCTGTCTCGTTGTAAACCTGGGCGTGGTCCTTAAAAAGTCACTTTCTACAGAGAAATTTGGCTACATTTAATAATGTATATTGACAAACTAGGCAAGGCTAAATAAACGCAATAGATAGGTTGAAATAAGGCAAGTTTATTTTAGTAACGTTTTCACTCACTGTTGTCACTGCGGTAGAAATTCGCTATGGCTCATGCTAAGTCAGTGAGAGTGTTACATAATAAATTTTCTTTAATGATCTTTATATCATCTATATACATGTCAGCCTAACAGCCCACGTTCGATATGTCAAAATTCTGACATGGCTCCAAGGCTTTCTGGTCATATAGGACACTCACGCTAACGACTCCTATTGATATTGATGTGCCAACCAGAAGCGCATTGGTTCTTTTACTAGACTTCACCTCTTTTGTTTCACTCGTTACAAATTTAAATAAGCAGTGATGACCCCTATATTTGTCATTGGTTTGGTCTTCTTGGTGTCTCTTCCGCGGGAATAAAGGGGGACAATGGAAGTCAAGTTAGAATTTTGATAGACCGACCGTTGGCTAATATACATTTATTTTAATTTTTTGTTTATTTTTCGCTTATCGGTATATACAGCTGTACATATCCACTTCAGGATGTGTATATGTCGATAGGAGTTATTTTGTTAACAGTGTCCCCAGTTAGCATTTCAGCTATATAAATCTTCTGATTCTCCAACGAAATACTTGAATACCTATAAAAATAATGTATATAAGTATGTATTTCATTCTGTTCTTTGTATTTACTGTTCAGACTCTTGCACATGGCATCATGGGACTTGTTTTAAGCCAAAGCCGTAAAAGATCTGCAAATCTGGTAAGATTTTCTCGATAAGCACTCGTAAACGCCTGACAGACGAAAGTAATTTGTTCAGACAGCGAAGACTTTCCATAAGCAACGAGCGCCCCCTCTCCCATGAGGCTTGGCGGGTTGGGAGTACCGTGGGAGCATAAAGACACCCCTCCCATGACTGGAGACTGAGCCTACCCCGTCTCCCCTCGACCACCACCACCACCACCACAAAACGAGGCAAGGAAATGACTCCTGGGTTCAAACCTTTCACAAAGCAAGGCAAGCTAATGGATAACAAAATGAGGTCCCTCCGAACGTATTGATCGCCTCGTAGAAGAAGAGTAACATTATCGGAGGAAACTGGAACTCGCGCTGCCTTGAAACTACATTCAAGTGGCAGATGCGATGAACTTAATTGGAGAGAGCAAAGCAAAACGGCGGTCGTCGCTTTCGAAAGTGCATAACATGTCCCCTTTAGTTTGGGCTAGATAACTCCGTTCTCTTCTCCTCCTACCCTCCCCCCTCCCCCAAATATGTTTTATCACGCGTCATGGCGTTCTTACTAGCCAGTTTATTTTTAGAACGTTTTGACGCGAACTTAAAATATTTTGCCAAGTCCCCCAAACCAGTCAAAAGCTACAGAACTGAAGTTGGTATTTTGACCTTTTAATGGCGTGTAGTTCTCCGTATGCACGCCTTATACTTCAATAGCGGACAACCGCATTATGTCAATCTAAAAATAAACGCCGTGACGTAGACCTAGTGTGAGAGTTGCTCGCTGCATGTCAGTTATAAACTCCTGAGATGTACCTATTGAAAAGTGCAACTTCTTCTTTTAAATAGCATTACTGAGTCATTTCTTTAGTAAACTTTATAATTTATTGATTTCAATCTCTTTAGATCAATGCTATTTGGTCGGTTAGCGTGGCATGTATTATCTACTCCGCTATTACAGTACTCAGGTATCAGGCATGGGGTGTCGAATGGCTGGTGTCAAACAATGTTTCCTACTCCGACTACTCCGACAAGTTCTTTGTAAAGAAAGATGTCAAGCTGAAGTACACTGAGCAGGAAAATAAGGCATTTGCTGTATTTGGCATCATCATTGTGTTCTCTATGATTGAAATTATCCTGGCTGCTGCTATGGCAAAAGTCAGCGATTCAAGCCACAAGGTGGCTCAGCAGCCTGTCATCCCTATGTACTATGGGATGTATTATCAGGTACCGTAAAAATAGCATTTTGAAATGTAATCATACTATGAAAGAGACATGTTTTTTTTTTAAATCTAACTATTACACTTCTGTCATAAATGGCAGAGGCGGATCCAGGGGAGAGGCCGGGGGGGGCGCCCCCTCCCTTAGTTTTGGACCAAATTGAGGCCCGACCTTTTTTTGAGACCGCCCCCCCCCCTTATCCAAGGGTCTGGATGACGCCCCCCCCCCCCCCCTTTATCTGAAGGTCTGGATCCGTCACTGAATGGGGTGGGGGTGGGGGTGGGGGGGAGGGTCATAGATGTTGCAGTCGCTTAAATCTTAAGATTTCGCTTAAGACAAAGTTCGTATGAGTGGGTCTGGCAGAAGCAAATTGATTCAATTACACTGACCTGGTAGCGTCAACTGGGAAGAATTGTGATCTGGCCTGTGTGAAAGGTTTGAACCCAGGACTCATTTCAAAAGGTTGAGTTTGATCGTCCAGGTGAACGCATTCCTGAATAGGACTGTTTTTGTTGACAGTGACTGACGTTTCGACAACCTGTGCGGTAGTCATCTTCAGAGTCAAAGTGAGTTGTATCACGTCAGTTGATGGTATTATACTCTGGTTATTGATCTGATTGGTCAATTATGTCGCGATGTTATTGGTCATCTGTCAGTTAAGCCGTGATGTTATTGGCTATGAAGACTCGTAATCAGTGATTGGTGCGTTTCGATCCGTCTATTGTCACAGTTAAACAGTCGTCTATTGTTAGTCAAATTGTCAGTTCTCCAGTTGTTCTCTCGCAGTTAGTTTTGCTTGATCTCCTCAATAAGTCGTTTGTACGGCGCTGGTAACTGTTGGCTACGATTCAGTGGCGTTTGTTCTAAGTTAGTAAACCAGCTTTCTAAAGTAAGACGTTGTTAGTAGTCTGTAGAATACGTTATACATGTCGCAGAGTCCCAGTCAATTTGATGTTTCATCTTCAAATGGTGCTCAGCAATGTGATTGTTGACGTCACCATTCCTCGTCGCGCGTTTGTGTTCGGTCAGTCGCGTGCTTAGGTTTCTGCCGGTTTCACCGATGTAAGAAGCCTGGCAGTCGCAGCATTTGATCTTGTATACTGCTCCCTGTCTGTCCTCCGGTTTGTCTTTGTCCTTGACATTAGTAAGCAGTCGCCGTAAAGTGGTTATCGCTTTGTGCGCAACACGTATATTATAAGGTTGTAATATACGTGCAATAGTTTCAGGGGTGCCTCTGATGTACGGTATAGTCGCTGTCGTAACAGGGCCAGAGTCTGAGAGTTGGAATCAGTGTTACTGTGAGTGTTCCGTCTAACAAAGTCCGTGTTGTAATTGTTCTTACTAAAAACGTTGTTAAGATAATCAGTCTCGTCTTGTAGGCTGTCAGGTGAGTCGCAAACTAGTGTGCGCTCGTCTCGTCAGAGTCCGGATAGTAGTAGCCTTAGCCTTAGCCTTAGTAATGTCAAGAACAAAGACAAACCGGAGGACAGACAGGGAGCAGTATACAAGATCAAATGCTGCGACTGCCAGGCTTCTTACATTGGTGAAACCGGCAGAAACCTAAGCACGCGACTGACCGAACACAAACGGGCGACGAGGAATGGTGACGTCAACAATCACATTGCTGAGCACCATTTAAAGACGAAACATCAAATTGACTGGGACTCTGCGACATGTATAACGTATTCTACAGACTACTATCAACGTCTTACTTTAGAAAGCTGGTTTACTAACTTAGAACAAACGCCACTGAATTTTAGCCAACAGTTACCAGCGCCGTATAAACGACTCATTGAGGAGATCAAGCAAAACTAACTGCGAGAGAACAACTGGAGAACTGACAATTTGACTAACAATAGACGACTGTTTAACTGTGACAAAAGACGGATCGAAACGCACCAATCACTGATTACGAGTCTTTATAGCTAATAACATCACGGCTTAACTGACAGACGACCAATAACATCGCGACATAATTGACCAATCAGATCAATAACCAGAGTATAATACCATCAACTGACGTGATACAACTCACTTTGACTCTGAAGATGACTACCGCACAGGTTGTCGAAACGTCAGTCACTGTCAACAAAAACAGTCCTATTCAGGACTACGTTCACCTGGACGATCAAACTCAACCTTTTGATCTGGCCTGTATCTGACGAAATATTGGAAAAAAATATAAACTTACACCTGGACAGTCAGCCTTTCTTTTTTCACTGTTTGGTCACAAAAACATTTTGCTGACTAGATCCATTCGGATCTGGTATCTTTGTTTTGTACGTTAGCATTTGCTATTTATTTACAAGATATTTTTTTTAACTGCATACTACATATACTATTACTATATCAGGGGCACCCAACAAGAATATAGTTCAAAACCACTTAAATTTACAAAGCATTGTTAAACGTATTTTGGTATTTAAACGGTAGATATAGGCATATTTTCATCCCCTAAAAAGTTTTTACCTGTTCGGATTTCCTAGCTGAAAGTCTAGTGATCCGAAAATTATAGGGATCAAAACTTACCTTTTCGAAAATTTCAGCCACAAAAAAGGCTTCCGAATATTCTAGATGACGTTTTTAGAGTTGAAAAATCCGTTAAAAATGGGCATGTATACCATTTTTTAGATGTTCGAAAATCCTAGGAGAGGCAGGCAAGCAAGAAATTTTACAACAAATGTTCCGAAAATTCTAGATCTCAAATCGTCTTCCGAACAGATATTTTCCGAAAATTGACGTTGGGTGCCCCTGCTATATGCTTTGCAACAGCCTTCATTTGCTAATGTATAGTCTTAAATCATTAAAATTGCACTACGAATATGCAAACAGAAGAAGAAATGAATTCGCGAAGTAACTTTCTTCATCTCTTTTCCTTTAGCAGCCAGTGGGCCAAGTCAGTGGGCTCCCGGAACAAACCAGTGCAGACACCGGCTCTTGCGAACGCCTAATTCCTGCTCAGGATATACCACCTCCTTATCGTCAAATGTCTCCTCATTAGAAGTAAAAGACAATTTCTTGTTTTTCTTTATTTTTTTTGCGGAAATACTTTTCTCTACTGAAAGGCTTTGCTGCTGCCATGGCCAAATCAGGTTCATTGTTAACTTTGATCTAGCTGTAGTGTGAGCTATAATTCACCTTCCATAGATTGATAATGTAGATCAGGATTACTTCGTGTTATCTTGATTACAATCCTGGCCCCAGTTGTTCAAAAGTTGGATAGCTCTATCCAACGGATAAGTGTTAGCTAGGGAAACCAATTGCGTTATCCAGTTGATAGTGATTTATCCGGTGGATAGCGTTATCCACCTTTTGTACAACCGAGGCCTGTTGAACAACTGGGGCCTGGACGAAACGTCCTTGGGACAGTGTTGCAATATTCGTTATTATCTGTAATTTCTAGATACCCTCATGAAATTCAGTTTAAAAACATGTTTTTTATTTTTCATCGAAATTCACCTTCGATGCATTTGTTTGTCCAGGTTATAAATAGAATTTAGTGCTTGTCTTCTTATATTTTTTCAATATGTTTTTTTTTCAATTAAAGGTTGTTTTGCAATATTTTTTTTTCCTCGTTAAAGTCAAATTACTAAATAATTTAAACGTTTTTTTAGCAATCGGGCTCCTTTTGATAACAGAGTTTTCTTTTAATACCTTTGTTAGACTCTGACTATATTTAATATCTTTTTATCAATTAAAGGTTTTGTAATTTTTTTTTTTTTTTTGAATAAACATTTTTTCAGTGTTTATCTTTTATCTTTTATCTTGAATATATATCAGACATGGTGAGATTTTGCTTTGGAAAATGATACTATTTCTTAAACTGCCTTGCCTGAATGAAAGTGGAGCCGTGGAAATGCTAGGAAAAACTGATTGATACGAGGTACTAGAGCGAAACTGGTGCACTTTCTCTCACTACGTTAAATGAAAGACGGGTCCGCCTTTGTCACATCTAGGTTGCAAGACAACAGAACGAAAACCACCCGTTGCACTTTATTACAGACCTTAAGATACGCGGTTTCTGTGTACGGGTACGGGTAAATTAGCCGTACACGTACCCGTAAATACGGGTTGATTGCCTCTCACCCGGGAGAAACGGGTAGGCTACCGGGTAGAATGGTTACGCCATTCATTATCAAAACTAGGAAAACGTGGTTGCCATTTATAAAACTACGAGGTAAACATGTTCGCTTACCCGTACCCGTAGGCTGAAACGGTGTATCTTAAGGTCACTATTCTCTCTAAACGGGAGAAAATTTAGCATAATTGCCATCTGAGGTCAGGCGCTTACTACCGCTTTGCGCCCGATTTGTAAGCGCACTCAAGCTAGAATGTATTACTTTTAAGTATTAGTTGTTGGTAGTTAGTGATTTGTAAAGTTGCTTAGTTTGCAATTTATTATCTATCATTGTACAATATTATTTTGCGATTGTAATTAGCTCTGTAATTCAGCCTTATATGTATCATGTGTTGCTGCAATAAGTATATTTTGACCCCTGAGACGTACGGAGGGGGAAGTAGTGACTGCCACCCCCCTCGGAGGTCTTTTTTGAGTTTTTTCCTAGACGAGAAAACATCGGCACCTGACGTTTTCAGTAGCTATTCGTTTATCCCTCGCGCGCATTTTGGGACAAGTTTAGTGATAGTCAGTTACTATGGTTACGAGATATGACGTCATAAGTAGCAGGTTGTCAAGCCATATTTGAGTGAAAATGCATGGTTTTTTTCAACTTAGTCAGCAATAAAAGTAACGCTTGTGGATAAAATGATACAAAGTACTTCTTTATGCTTTAATTTACCTGTGAAGCTCAAAAACTATCAATTCTCGCGGTTTTTACCTGATTTCTAATTCTTTATACAATCCAAGATGGTTGAGTTGTTTCGGTTGTGGAAACACAAATGGCGGACATTTCACTCGTTTCAAGAGTAAGAACTAGGCGAAGTAATAGCTAAAAACATGGCAAGAACAGCAAGAAAACAACTCGAAGGGCTACATCTGCTATTCAGAATATTCGCGGAGCTGTTTGGAAGATGAACTTAACATCGATGGATCGATGGAGGTAAGCATGTTTTAGCCATGTTTTTAAACTAGTAACTATTTTGAATGAATAAAAAAACAATTATTGAATTCGGCTTTCGTGCCATACAAGGAATTATGGAGATGTTGAAGGGTGTTATCCGCCTCGGCCAACGGCCTCGAAGGCTAACACCCTCCTCGATCTCCATAATTCTTCATAAGATACTCAGCCTTATTTGCAAAGTTATTTCTTTCAAAAAGAATTTTTAGGTGAATTAATAGTTTTCCGGAAGCTCAATATGAATTTTACAATCTTTTTCAATGTTATCTTAAGCGACTTGAGTAAACTTTCTGTCAGTTTCAGGACAAAAACAACTGTGAGGTAAAAAAAATATAGTCATGTGGACATTGACGCGTAAAAAAAAAAATCAGTTAGCTACTGCATTGATCGCTTTGATCATGTTATAAAACAATTAGTTCATCCTTCAGCTGTGCGTACAGTAAAAACCCGCGACTAAGAACCTGCTTTTCGCCAAGTTAGTCTAAATAGGTTCTTACATAAATGGTAATAAGGACAAATTTAGGCTATTATGAGGTTCTTAAATAGGTTCTTATTTTCTAAAGGAAAAATGACTCGTAGCTAAGAGTATTTAGTGGTGTTCAGCTTATTCTTTGCATAAAATCTGCATACCAATGCGTTCCAGTTGGGGTGATAAGGCAGTTAAGTCTCCAAAGGGGATCCTGAATGTAGCCTCCCCGCAGATGGCCTTTGGGGTTGAATGTTGACTTGTCCTATTTGTCCAAGTGCACAAAAAAGGTTAAAAACTAACAAGCCGTCTTAAATTTTAGGCTAAACAGGTTCTTGTATAGAGGGGGCCTAAGTGGCAAGTTTTAGCCTAACAGGTTCTTAAAAACCAGGTTCTTAGTCACGGGTTTTTACTGTATGTCGTGATATTGATCACTTGCGACTTGAGCAACTCTTACGCCTCTTTCGTGCTCTCCAAACTTCCCGCGTGCTCAATATCCCGACCTACGTACGCTGACGCATGAAGTAATTGTTTAAGCTTCACTTATACAGCAATCGGCAAACGTCAGATTCAAGTTGAGAATTTCTCAAAATATAAAATGGACAATGGATAAAAACGGTTCAAAACAATTCTTATGGATAAAATTGTGTGAAACTGCTAATTTATGTGTAGAAATAATGAACAGGAAACGGACAAGTAAAGGGGAAACACAACGTTTGACATAAACGTGAAGCTATGTGTATGACGTCAAACATACTTTTTAAAGCACGTCTAGTACCGCAAGAAAACTATGCTTTCTAAACAGGCTTCGATTCCTCTTTTGTTAATTTGCAACTGCAATGGAAAATACTAACAAGAGAACGCTGACATTGTTGTCTTCTTTCCAAATTGTGATATCCGTCTTATTTTTCGTTCTGGGATTGGTAGACGGGCTTGAAATCCGCTTTATACATAGCCTCGTGTTTTCGCCATGTTGGTTTGTTCCCCTGGTAAGTCAGTGCTTCTGATTCTTGTCTGTTTCTAAATTTGATTAAATCTGGTCATGGATAAAGGTCTTATTGCTCCAGTGATGGTTCAAGAGAAGAGAAAACCTAAACTTTTTGCCGTGGGATCATATCTTCACGTTTATTTTGATGTGTATGTTAATTCATCAGGAGTGGTCGTCTCGCTTTCACAGCGATCACGTCAAACGACAGAAATTTGCGAAAGCTCAATAGTTGTTATTCACTGTTCAAAATATGGAAATTATATGCTGTTACATATTACAAATCATTTTGAAAGTGCACTCTAATTTTTCTGATTGCCATTGTCTTGATGGATACTGTCGGCGCCATCTGTCAATATTATACTTCCCGCTTTGACCAAGTCTTTTCAGCGAAAGGCCGAAAGCTCGTTTATGTTGGGGAAAATGCAACGATGGTTACATTAACTAGTTATTTCATACGTATACAACCATGTCACTTGAGTTTCCACATAAATGTAAACGAATTCCCACTAAATACAACACTGAGAAACATCTCAGAAGTTTGACCGACGCTTATTCCACACAATTTCAGCAATTTCGTTCATGCGTGAATTATTACACCTTGTTACACGACTGCTGACATTCCGCTTGTTGGCTTGTTTACGCATTTGCCTACTACTCCAATGTTAAGAACGCGAACGACTCCGCACATATACTTAATAAAATACTAAAAGCAACCATGATGCCGGATACAAACCTCGAAGACAACGATGGCAATGAGAACACGAGAAAAACAATGTTTGTTTAAAGAGCAAAACTACAGCACTGCAAGTGAAAAACCTCTTTCTTTTGGTTCCGTCCACAACGTGAAACTTTCCAATGCGACGTTCTATTTTATAGAGGTCGTGACGACAAAGACCACGAATTGCATCAATGTCTCGTTGTAAACCTCTAAGGGTCCCTTTAAAGTTCAACTCCAGAAAAATTCGTTTACATTTAATAATTTATATCGACAAATTGAGCGAGGCTAAATAAAGGCAATAGACAGTTTGAAATGTTAAGGCAAGTTCATATTAATAATAATGTATGTAAGTATGAATTTAATCCTGTTCTGTGCATTTACTGTTCAGACTCTTGCAAATGGCATCATGGGACTTGTTTTAAGCCAAAGCAGTAAAAGATCTTCAATTCTGGTAAGATTATCTTGATAAGCATCGTAGACGTCTGACAGGGGAAAACATAACCTAAATTTCCGAAAGAGAAGACTTTCCGTAAGCATCGACCGCCCCCTCTTCCAGGTTCGGCGGGTTGGGAGTACCGTGAGCGCATCGAGACACCCCTTCCATGGCTGGAGACTGAGGCTATCCCCTACCCCCTCCACCACCACCACCACCACAAAACAAAAGTGAGGCAAGCTGACAGATTAGAAAGTGAAGTCCCTCCGAAAGTGCTGATCGCTTCGTAGAAGAAGAGCAGTATTATCGGAGGAAACTGGAACTTGCGCCGCCTTGAAACTTATTGAAGTGGCAGATGCTGGAGAGAGCAGAGCAAAACGGCGGTCGTCGCTTTCGAAAAGACGAAACAAGACGAAACAAGTCAATACGAGGCTGTGTAACATGTCCCCTACAGGCTAAATACTTCCCTTCCCCTCCCTCCCCTCCCCAAATATTTTTTTATCAGGATAAAGGTGTATTGTATTCGAGTCCCCCAGAGAAAAAAAAAATATACGCAGGATCCCATAACCCGGAGTAGTAACTCCCATGTACTCGTGTCACGGCGTTCTTCCTAACCATGGCCAGTTTATTTTTAGAATGATTTTGGCGCGAATTTAAAATATTTTGCCAAGTCCCACAAACCAGTCAAAATATTCAGAACTGAAGATGGTATTTTGACCTTTTAATGACGTTTAGTTCTCCGTATGCACGCCTTCTTCTTCAAATGCGGAACCGCTCTATGTAAATCTAAAAATAGACCGGTCCACGAAAACGCCGTGACGTAGGCCTAGTATGAGAGTTGCTAACTCCATATTATGGGCTCCTAGAATGTGCCTATTCAAAAGTGCAACTTCGTGTTCTGAATGACATACCTGACCCATCTCTTCAGTAGACTTTATAATTTATTGACTTCAATTTCAATTTTTCTTTAGATCCATGCTATTTGGTCGGTTAGCGTGGCATGTATTATCTACGCCGCTATTACAGTGCTGAGGTATCAGTACTGGGGTGTCGAATTCCTGACGTATCGTACTATTATCCAGAACGCAGACTACTACCGCAACGACAAATGGTGGTTTGTAAAGAAAAATGAGAAGCCGGAGTACACTAAGCAGGAAAATGATGCACTTGCTGTATTTGGCATCATCATTGTGTTGTCTATCATTGAAATTATCCTGGCTGCTGCTTTGGCAAAAGTCAGCGATTCAAGCCACAAGGTGGCTCAACAGCCCACCATCCCAATGTACGCTATGTACTATCAGGTACGGTATAAAAGGCATTGTGAAATGTGATCATACTATAAAACACACGCGTTTTTGTTTTTTTTTTTTTGCGTCATACATAAGGGGAGAGGGGCATAGATATTGCAGTCGTTTAAAATCTTCGTAAAATTTCGTATGAGTGACAGTGGCCACAATTACACTGGCCTAATAGCGGCAATTTGGAAGAATTTCGATCTGGCTTGTATCTGACGAAAAATTGGAAGAAAATATAAACTTGTAGCTGTACAGTCAGCCTTTCTTTTTTCACCGTTTGCTCACAAAAACACTTTGCTGACTAGATCCATTAGAATCTGGCATCTTTGTTTTGTACGTCGGCATTTGCTATTTATTTATAAGATATATTTTAACTGCATACTACATATACTATTACTATATGCTTTGCAACAGCCTTTATTTACTAATGTACAGTTTTAAATCATTTAAATTTAACAACGAATACGCAAACAAACTGAAGAAGAAATGAAATCGCGAAGTAACTTTCTTCGTTTCTTTTCCTTCAGCAGCCAGTTGGCCAAGTCAGTGGGCTCCCGGGACAAACCAGTGCAAACATTGGGTCAGGCGTACGCCCTATTACAGCCCAGGATATACCACCTCTTTATCGTCAAATGTCTCCTCATTAGAAGTAGAAGACGCTTTTTTTTTCTTTCTTTTTTTGCGGAAATGCTACCCTCTACTGGAAATATGCTTTGCTGCTCCCATGGCCAAAACAGTTTCATTGTTAAGGTTGATCTAGTGTAAGCTACCGGTAGTGATTGTATTTACCTTTCATAGATTGTCAATATAGAGAATTACTTTGCGTTTGCCGTTGAATACAATCCTGGACGGAAAGTCCTTGGGAAAGTGATGCAATATTCGTTATTTCTGGATACCTTCATGAAACAGCGCTTTTATTTTAAATACCTTTGCAGTTGTCAGGTTGTTATAGAATTCAGTGCTTGTTATATTTAATATCTCTTTATCAATTACGTTAAAGTTGTAATAATTTTAGGTTGTTATTTTACTCCTTTTTGTATTGTAAATGATTTGTTTCTTGGGGGCTCGTCTGCCTTGACTCTGACGGGATTCGGCCCTGAATAAATAAAGGTATTTAACTTTTATCTTAAATATATATCTGCCAAGGCGAGATTTTGCTTTGAAAATTAAATAGAACTTCTTAAACTGCCTTGATACTGAGAGCGGAGCCATAGAAATGCTAGAAAAAACTGACTGACAAGTGGTACCAGAGTGAAACCGGTGCACTTTCTCCGCACTGCACCACGTTAAATGAGAGACGAGTTAACCTTTGTCAGGTCTACGTTGAAAGACAACAGAACGAAAACCAACCGTTATACTTAAATCTCCCTAGACTGGGGGAAGTTCAGCATACATAATTATCATTTAATAATTTTAGGTTGTTATTTTACTCCTTTTTGTGTTGTAAATAATTTTTTTAGGGCTCCTTTTGAAAACAGAGTCTGCCTTGACTCTGACGGGATTTCCCTGAATAAATAAAGGTATTTATACATAATTATCATCTGAGGTCAGGCGCGCACTCAAGACTTTAAATTACATGTACGTAGTCCATTGTGACCATTGTATTGTGTATCAGTAGCAGTGCCGGATCCAGACCTTGAGATAAGGGGGGAGCCCGGTCATCCAGAACCTTAAATAAGGGGGAGGGGGAGCGGTCTCCAAAATTTTTTTAGGCCCTTCGGGCCGCTCAGTTTTCTCTAAAAGTAAGGGAGGCCGGGCCCCCCGGGCCTTCCCCTGGATAGGCCACTGGGTAGCCGCGGGCGTAGCCTCCCCGTATAGTCCATAATAGTGAGTCCCCCTAGGCGTATGACGAAAGGGAAGAATGTTTTTCGGCAAACATCAGAACTCTAAAAAACAAAAAAAAAATCAGATAGCTACTGCTTTGATCGCTTTGATCATGTTATAAAACAATTAGTTCATCCTTCAGCTGTGCGTACAGTAAAAACCCGCGACTAAGAACCTGCTTTTCGCCATGTTAGTCTAAATAGGTTCTTACATAAATGGTAATAAGGACAAATTTAGGCTATTATGAGGTTCTTAAATAGGTTCTTATTTTCTAAAGGAAAAATGACTTGTAGCTAAGAGTATTTAGTGGTGTTCAGCTTATTCTTTGCATAAAATCTGCATACCAATGCATTCCAGTTGGGGTGATAAGGCACTTAAGTCTCCAAAGGGGATCCTGAATGTAGCCTCCCCGCAGACGTCCTTTGGGGTTGAATGTTGACTTGTCCTATTTGTCCAAGTGTACAAAAAGGGTTTTTAAAAAAATTTTAAACTAAGAAGCCGTTTTAAATTTTAGGCTAAATAGGTTCTTGTATAGAGGGGGCCTTAGTGGCAAATTTTAGCCTAACAGGTTCTTAAAAACCAGGTTCTTAGTCACGGGTTTTTACTGTATGTCGTGATATTGATCACTCGCGACTTGAGCAACTCTTACGCCTCTTTCGTGCTCTCCAAACTTCCCGCGTGCTCAATATCCCGACCTACGTACGCTTGCGCATGAAGTAATTGTTTAAGCTTCACTTATACGGCAAACGGCAAACGTCAGATTCAAGTTGAGAGTTTCTCAAAATAGAACATGAACAGATAAAAACGGTTCAAAACAATTCTTATGGATAAAATTGTGTGAAACTACTAATGTATGTGTAGAAATAATGAACAGGAAACGGGCAAGTAAAGAGGAAACACAACGTTTGACATAAACGTGAAGCTATGTGTCCTATGTGTATGACGTCAATCATATTTTTTAAAGCACGTCTAGTACTGCAAGAAAACTATGCTTTCTAAACAGGCTTCGATTCCTCTTTTATTAATTTGCAACTGCAATGGAAAATACTAACAAGAGAACGCTGACATTGTTGTCTTCTTTCCAAATTGTGATATCCGTCTTATTTTTCGTTCTGGGATTGGTCGACGGACTTGAAATCCGCTTTATACATAGCCTCGTGTTTTCGCCATGTTGGATTGTTCCCCTGGTAAGTCAGTGCTTCTGATTCTTGTCTGTTTTTAAATTTGTCAATCACTTGAATCTCGTCATGGACAAAGGTGTTATTGCCCCTATTATGGTACAAGAGAAGAGAAAACCTGAACTTTTTGCCGTGGGATCTTCACGCTTGTTTTGATGCGTATGTTAATTCATAATGAGTGGTCGTCTCGCTTTCACAGTGATCAAGTCAAACGACAGAAATTTGCGAAAGCTCAGAAGTTGTTATTCACTGTTCAAAATATGGAAATTATATGCTGTTACATATTACAAATCATTCTGAAAGTGCACTTTAATTTTTCTGACTGTCAATGTCGGTGCCATCTGTCAATATTATACTTCCCGCTTTCACCAAGTCTGTTATGTTGGGGAAAATGCAACGATGGTTACATTAACTAGTTATTTTATACGTATACAGCCATGTCACTTGAGTTTCCACATAAATGTAACGAATTCCCACTAAATACAACCGGCTGAGAAACATCTCAGAAGTTTGACCGACGCTTATTCCACACAATTTCAGCAATTTCGTTCATGCGTGAATTATTACACCTTGTTACACGACTGCTGACATTCCGCTTGTTGGCTTGTTTACGCATTTGCCTACTACTCCAATGCTAAGAACGCGAACGACTTCGCACATATACTTAATAAAATACTAAAAGCAACCATGATGCCGGATACAAACCTCGAAGATGACGATGGCAATGAGAACCCGAGAAAAACAATGTTTGTTTAAAGAGCAAAACTACAGCACTGCAAGTAAAAAACCCCTTTCTTTTGTTACCGTCCACAACGTGAAACTTTCTAATGCGACGTTTTATTTCATAGAGGTCGTGACGACAAGGACGACGAATTGCATCAATGTCTCGTTGTAAACCTTTACGTGGCTCTTTAAATTTAAGTCCAGAAAAATTCGTTTACATTTTATAATTTATATCGACAAATTGAGCGATGCTAAATAAAGGCAATAAACAGGTTGAAATGTTAAGGCAAGTTCATTTTAGTAATGTAATAATGTTTCAACTTCCCGTTGTCACTGTGTTGTCGTCGGTCATGGGTTGTCCAAGCTCCTAATTAAACATCTTTAGTCATGGTCGACAAGTGCTACATGAAATCTCCAATGCAAACGTTTGATTTTTTTTTTAAGTGATCTTTAAGGTCACGCTTTCCCTCGTAGGGAAGAAACGCATGACAGTGCCCAAAGGGAGGTACTATAGTATTAATAGTAATGTATGTAAGTATGAATTTAATTCTGTTCTGTGCATTTACTGTTCAGACTCTTGCAAATGGCATCATGGGCCTTGTTTTAAGCCAAAGCCGTAAAAGATCATCAATTCTGGTAAGATTATCTTGATAAGCACTCGTAGACGTCTGACAGAGAAAACGTAACCTAAATTTCCGAAAGAGAAGACTTTCCGTAAGCGTCGACCGCCCCCTCTTCCAGGTTCGGCGGGTTGGGAGTACCGTGAGCGCATCGAGACACCCCTTCCATGGCTGGAGACTGAGGCTATCCCCTACCCCCTCCACCACCACCACCACCACAAAACAAAAGTGAGGCAAGCTGACAGATTAGAAAGTGAAGTCCCTCCGAAAGTGCTGATCGCTTCGTAGAAGAAGAGCAGTATTATCGGAGGAAACTGGAACTTGCGCCGCCTTGAAACTTATTGAAGTGGCAGATGCTGGAGAGAGCAAAGCAAAACGGCGGTCGTCGCTTTCGAAAAGACGAAACAAGACGAAACAAGTCAATACGAGGCTGTGTAACATGTCCCCTACAGGCTAAATACTTCCCTTCCCCTCCCTCCCCTCCCCAAATATTTTTTTATCAGGAATAAAGGTGTATTGTATTCGAGTCCCCCAGAGAAAAAAAAAAAAATACGCAGGATCCCATAACCCGGAGTAGTAACTCCCATGTACTCGTGTCACGGCGTTCTTCCTAACCATGGCCAGTTTATTTTTAGAATGATTTTGGCGCGAATTTAAAATATTTTGCCAAGTCCCACAAACCAGTCAAAATATTCAGAACTGAAGATGGTATTTTGACCTTTTAATGACGTTTAGTTCTCCGTATGCACGCCTTCTTCTTCAAATGCGGAACCGCTCTATGTAAATCTAAAAATAGACCGGTCCACGAAAACGCCGTGACGTAGGCCTAGTATGAGAGTTGCTAACTCCATATTATGGGCTCCTAGAATGTGCCTATTCAAAAGTGCAACTTCGTGTTCTGAATGACATACCTGACCCATCTCTTCAGTAGACTTTATAATTTATTGACTTCAATTTCAATTTTTCTTTAGATCCATGCTATTTGGTCGGTTAGCGTGGCATGTATTATCTACTCCGCTATTACAGTGCTGGGGTATCAGTACTGGGGTGTCGAAGAACTGACGTTTCGTACTATTACCCAGAACAGAGGCTACCGCAACAACAAATGGTACTTTGTAAAGAAAGATTTCAAGATGAAGTACACTAAACAGGAAAATGATGCACTTGCTGTATTTGGCATCATCATTGTGTTGTCTGTCATTGAAATTATCCTGGCTGCTGCTTTGGCAAAAGTCAGCGATTCAAGCCACAAGGTGGCTCAACAGCCCACCATCCCAATGTACACTATGTACTATCAGGTACGGTATAAATGGCATTGTGAAATGTGATCATACTATAAAACACACGCTTTTTTTTTTTTTTTTGCGTCATACATAAGGGGAGAGGGGCATAGATGTTGCAGTCGTTTAAAATCTTCGTAAAATTTCGTATGAGTGACAGTGGCCACAATTACACTGGCCTAATAGCGGCAATTTGGAAGAATTTCGATCTGGCTTGTATCTGACGAAAAATTGGAAGAAAATATAAACTTGTAGCTGTACAGTCAGCCTTGCTTTTTTCACCGTTTGCTCACAAAAACACTTTGCTGACTAGATCCATTAGAATCTGGCATCTTTGTTTTGTACGTCGGCATTTGCTATTTATTTATAAGATGTATTTTAACTGCATACTACATATACTATTACTATATGCTTTGCAACAGCCTTTATTTACTAATGTACAGTTTTAAATCATTTAAATTTAACAACGAATACGCAAACAAACTGAAGAAGAAATGAAATCGCGAAGTAACTGTCTTCGTTTCTTTTCCTTCAGCAGCCAGTGGGCCAAGTCAGTGGGCTCCCGGGACAAACCAGTGCAAACATTGGGTCAGGCGTACTCCCTATTACAGCCCAGGATATACCACCTCCTTATCGTCAAATGTCCCCTCATTAGAAGTAAAAGACGCTTTTTTTTCTTTCTTTTTTTGCGGAAATACTACTCTCTACTGGAAATATGCTTTGATGCTGCCATGGCCAAAACAGTTTCATTGTTAACGTTGATTTAGTGTAAGCTACCGGTAGTGATTGTATTTACCTTTCATAGATTGTCAATATGGAGAATTACTTTGCGATAGTCTTGAATACAATCCTGGACGGAAAGTCCTTGGGAAAGTGATGCAATATTCGTTATTTCTGGATACCTTTATGAAACAGCGCTTTTATTTTAAATACCTTTGCAGTTGTCAGGTTGTTATAGAATTCAGTGCTTGTTATATTTAATATCTTTTTATCAACAACAACAACAACAACAACAACTTTATTGCCTTTATCTTCGACATGAAGATTTCAGTACCAAAACAATAACAAGTGAAACAAAGTAAAATAAAAGTTAAGAAAGAAAGAAAGAAACAATTGAATATTATCAATTATTATTATTATTATCAATTACGTTAAAGTTGTAATAATTTTAGGTTGTTATTTTAATCCTTTTTGTTTTGTAAATAATTTTGTGTTTTTGGGGGGCTCGTCTGCCTTGACTCTGACAGGATTTCCCTGAATAAAAAAAGGTATTGAACTTTTATCTTAAATATATATCTGCCAAGGCGAGATTTTGCTTTGAAAATAAAATAGTACTTCTTAAACTGCCTTGATACTGAAAGCGGAGCCATGACAAGTGATACCAGAGCGAAACGGGTGCACTTTCTCCGCACTGCACCACGATGAGAGACGAGTCCACCTTTGTCAGGTCTACGTTGCAAGACAGCAGAATGAAAACCACCCGTTACACTTAAATCTCCCTAACTGGGGGAAGTTCAGCATACATAATTATCATCTGAGGTCAGGCGCGCACTCAAGATTTTAAATTACATGTACGTAGTCCATTGTGACCATTGTATTGTGTATCAGTAGCAGTGCCGGATCCAGACCTTGAGATAAGGGGGGAGCCCGGTCATCCAGAACCTTAAATAAGGGGGAGGGGGAGCGGTCTCCAAAATTTTTTTAGGCCCTTCGGGCCGCTCAGTTTTCTCTAAAAGTAAGGGAGGCCGGGCTCCCCAGGCCTTCCCCTGGATAGGCCACTGGGTAGCCGCGGGCGTAGCCTCCCCGTATAGTCCATAATAGTGAGTCCCCCTGAGCGTATGACGAAAGGGAAGAATGTTTTTCGGCAAACATCAGAACTCTATCCCCACCACCCCCTGCCCCCACCCCCACCCCCGATGTATTAGTATGCAACGTGCAAAAGTGTGAGTTTCCACTGATTTAGAACCGGCGGTTTTGTCCGCTTAACTTAAATTCCAGGTCACTTATTCCACCGTTTAGTGTAACATTTGTGACCGTTATTGTAGTTTACGTTTCGTCGTTGACTGTTCGGATATATCTTCATCGTCAGGTATGTGTGTGTTTTTTGATATTCTTTAGTTTTTTGGTGTACCTTTCTTTGTTTTGTATTTATTATTCGGTCCAATTATGTATAGCTTACTTTCGGTTTAATTATTGTCATTAGGAAGCTCTGTACGAGTAAACAGTAAATTGAATTATATTCTAATCATGTCTAATCACTTCGATACTCTTTTGCGTTACGTGGTATCAGTGACATTCTGTGGAGCAGCTGTTTTGAAAGTTATGGACCGAAAGACACTCGTTAAGCGCAGATGAAGCTATAAGGTGCGTATAACTGTATATATATAAACACTTGCCGGACACGAATTCACAAATCTTTGATTGGAAACAATTTGCCGGACACTCTTTCTCTCTTCGAGGGAATAAGATTCAGTCCCAAACAAGCAAGACGAGTACATCAAAGGCTAGCTTATCACTAGCAGAACGATGGACGATTACAGAAATTCGCCGACAATAAAATTCTATGCTAACTTATTCCCTGCTCACAGGTGTCCTTCTGTTGTGTTTTAAAAAAGACTAGAACTGGTAGAACGCGCGAGCGCGACTTGATCAAACCATTTAATTTCTAAGGCTTACTTTCCGGCAAATAAAATGAACTGTATGCAAAAAGTGAAAGAGAAATAGCGAAAAATTCCAACTTCTAATTAATTCTTTTCTTATGGTTTAGAATAAACTATTCTCGAAACTGAGAATGTTTTGATCAAAGCTGTGTAAATCGAACAGAAACAATGCATGGAACCTTGCGTTTCCCGTTTTTATCTCACCTATTGTACGGAATAAGTCTGAAAATCTTCATTAATGAATCGGTATATTTCAAAGAGCTACACAACAACAACAATCAAACAACAACAGTATTGTGCTCTTGATACAAAAGTGTAGAGTCATTTAATAAAAGGAATAATTGTGAAAGAAGGAGGGTACAGCCACTTAGAAATAGCGAAAGCTAATCGGGCTGAGTGGCTGGGCAATGGGGAAAAGTAATTAGAAAAAAGTTGTTATGAATAAATGCACACAAAAAAACACTCAGAGAAAAAATTTTTAAGCTGTAATAAATAAACAAATACACATACGAATAAACAAAGAAGCAAGACAAAACAAGGGCTGTGCACTCAATTAGCTGCATATTAAGCACACCAATCAATATTTGGAGATGACTCTTCACGTGTAACGTACACAGCCATAATTTTACGAAAACAACGAAAAAATGAAAATACCACAAGGAAACTGAGGCAAAAATTAAGAGATTTCGATGCTAAATGATATGCTAAATCAAAAACGCGTCCATCTTGCTCGCTAACCGCTGACAGACTCCAAGAATACATCGACAATGGGGCAGCTGTAGTGTCAACTATTACTGTCTAGTAGTAGTTCTTCTGATTCTTGTCTGTTTCTAACTTTGTAAGATTATATCTCGTCATGGATAAATGTGTTATTGCCCTAACTCGGATGGTACGAGTGAAGAGAAAACCTTCTGAACTTTTTGCCCGATCTTCACGATTATTTTGATGTGTAAATTTTTAGTAATTCAATAAAAATTACAGTTCACGACAGAACACGCGTGTTATCCGAAACAGCTGTAAAGTAATATACGCATGACGTCAACCGTGTTTTAATCGATCACTTCCTTTGTAAGAAAACTAAGCTTTCTGAACACGCTTCGATTCCTCATTTGTTAATCAAAGTGCAACTGCAATGGAAAATACTAACAAGAGAACTCTGACATTGTTGTCTTCTTTCCAAATTGTGATATCCGTCTTATTTTTCATTCTGGGATTGGTGGACGGACTTGAAATCCGCTTTATATATGTTAGCCTCGCGTTTTCGCCATGTTGGATTGTTCCCCTGGTAAGTCAGTGCTTCTGGTTCTTGTCTGTTTCTAAATTTGTCAATCACTTAACTCTTTGTAAGATTATATCTGGTCATGGATAAAAGTGTTATTGCCCCAATGATGGTACAAGTGAAGAGAAAACCTTCTGAACTTTTTGCCGTGGGATCTTCAAGCCTGTTTTGATGTGTATGTTCTTAATAATTCATCTCATTAATTATGAGTGGTCGTCTCGCTTTCGGAGTGATCAGGTCAAACGACAGAACTTTGCGAAAGCTCAATAGTTGTTATTCACTGTTCAAAATATGGACATAATATGCTGTTAAATTACAAATCATTTTGAAAGTGCACTCATTTTGAAAGTTTTTCACTGCCAAAGTCTCGATGGATAGTGTCGGCCCATCTGTCAATATCAGGGCGGATAAGGGTTGGGCGGTGAAACGAGCACTCCGCTCTTTCTTAATGTGTGACGCGGAGTAGGACTGGCATGAGCGCTCTTTCTGCGCTTCCGGTGCCCTTGAAGGCCGGCGAAATTTTCTTTTTTGCAAACCAGAAATCCCATTTTATTTCTGTAATTTCAGGCTACATTGTTAAATACATAAATTCGTTTTATAACATTATTAATAAACAGTTTCATATGTTTATGTCTATATGCCTACAAGTCAAACTTATTGGTCGCATAATGCCAAAATTTGTGTTTAATTTGAAAGTGTTGAATGCCTCCTCCTTCCCTAAATATGACCTAATCGTCTTTTGCCGTTTCGTTTACAAACGTTTAACACTTCTTAATTTTTACATATGTTAAAGGGGTATAAATTTTATACAACATAACAAAAAATTAGCTGGAAATATTTGGATATAATGGCGTTGTACTACTTCAAACTTTGCCGTTTCTCGGGTGCAAAAGAAGTGCAGAAGCTATTTTAATCAGCAGCTCATAATTTGATCATCACACCTTTTTCGCCCTTGTCAATATTATACTTCCCCGTCTGACTTCCCCGCTTTGCGTTACGTATTTTCAGCTAAAGGCCGGAAGCTCGTTTATGTCAGAGAAAATACAACGATGGTTACATTAACTAGTTATTTTATACAGCCTTCCCGTGTCAGTTTCAACTTAATTGTAAACGAATTCGCACCAAATACAACAAGAAACGTCTCAGAAGTTTGACCGAAGCCGTTATAATTTGGATTATTCCACAAAATTTCAGCAATTCCTTTCGTGCGTGAAGTATTACACCTTGTGTACGTACATGGCGTACCCTGCGAGCAGAGTCCGCTCAGTAGTTGGCTTGTTTGCGCATGCCATTTTCTCCAATATGAAGGACGCGAACGACTCCGCACATATAATACTAAAAGCAACCATGATGCCGGAAAGAAATCTCTACTCGAAGGGTATACACGATGACGATGGCAATAAGAACGCGAGAAAACAATGTTTGTTTAAAGAAGAAAACTACAGCACTGCAAGTAAAAAACACTTTTTTTTCGCTACCGTCTACAACGTACATGTATAACTTTCTGACGTTTTATGTAATAGAGGACTTGACGACAAGGACGATGAATTTCCTGTCTCGTTTTCGTCTACCTTTAATTGTTTACATTGACAAATTGAGGGAAGCTAAATAAACGCAATAGACAGGTTGAAATGTTAAGGCAAGTTCAGTTTAGTAACGTTTTCACTTCCCATTGTCACTGTGTTGTCGTCGATGGTTGTCCAAGCTCCTAATTTATTGTACATAGTTAAACATCTTTCCTCATGGTTCGACCAGTGCTACATGAAATCTCCAATGCAAACGTTTGATATTTTAAAAAAATGATCTTTAAGGTCATGCCGTCTTTCATAGGGAAGGAATGGGTGACAAAGCTTAAAGAGAGCATCTTCGTGGGAGGCTACCAACAAAATTCGCCATGGCTCATGCAAAGTCAATGATAGTGCTACATGATAAATTTTCCTCTATGATCTTCCTATACATGTGATCTAATAGCCCACGTTAAATATATCAGAATTCTAACATGAATCTGAGGCTTTCTGGTCACATAGGACATCGTCGCTGACGTCACCTATTGATATTGATGTGCCAACCAGAAGCGCATTGGTTATTGTAACACAAAACCTCTTTTGCTCCACTCGTTACAAATTTAGTTATAAGCAGTGATCACCCCTATATTAATCTTTAATTTGATGTTATTTGTATTTCTTCTGGCAATTACGGGGGACAAGAGAAGTCAAGTTAGAATTTTGATAGATCGAACGTTGACTAATATACATTTATTTCATTTTTTTTTTCTATTTTTGACTTATTGTACATGCGTACAGCTGTATGTATTCACTTTAAGATGATTTTAACTTGTCGACACTGAGTTATTTTGTTAACAGTGTCCCCAGTTAGCATGTTAGCAAAAATCTTTTGATTCACCAACGAAATACTTGAATACATATAAAAATAATGTATGTAAGTATGTATTAAATTATGTTCTGTGCATTTACTGTTCAGACTCTTACAAATGGCATCATGGGACTTGTTTTAAGCCAAAGCCGTAAAAGATCTTCAAATCTGGTAAGATTTTCTTGATAAGCACTCGTACACGTCTGACAGAGGAAAATATAATCTAAAGTTGCGAAAGAGAAGACTCTCCATTAGTAACGACCGCCCCCTCTCCTGGGCTAGGCGGGTTGGGAGCTACCGTGGGTGCATCGAGACACCTCTCCCACGACTGGAGACTGAGCCTACCCCCTCACCCTCCACCACCACAAAACAGTACAAAAGTGAGGTAAGCCAACGGATTAGAAATGGAAGTCCCTTCGAAAGTATTGATGCGCCTCGTAGAAGAAGAGTAACATTATCGGCAGAAACTGGAACTTTCCCCCTTCCCTTGAAACTACATTGAAGTGGCAGATGCGATAAACTTAATTGGAGAGAGCAAAGCAAAACGGCGATCGTCGCTTTCGAAAAGATTGAAAACAAGACGAACCCCCTCCCCCCCGCGCCAATACACACATACATACATATTTTTTTATTTGGAGTCGTATAAAATAAATAGTATATCAACTATTTGCAAAAACTTAAATTACAAACAAGAAAAAATCCTTACAATATATGGTTAATAAATTCAGTATATTTTATCAGCAATGAAGGGGTATTGTATTCGAGTCCCCCAGAGGCAAAAAAAGATGTGCAGGATCCCATAACACGAAGTTACTAACGGCGTTGTTACTCAACCATGGCCAGATTTTGGCGCGAACTTAGCATATTTTGCCAAGTCCCACAAACCAGTCAAAACCTACAGACCTGAAAATGGTTTTTTGACCTTTTGAAGACGTTCAGTTCTCCTTGTGCAGGCCTTATACTGCACATGCGGAGAACCGCTCTATGTCAATCTAAAAATAAACGCCGTGACGTAAGCCTAGTACTTATGAGAATTGTTCGCTCCATGTCATAGGCTCCTGATATATACCTAAACAAAAGTGAAACTCGTTTTTGTGATTAACATTACTGAGTCATCACTGATTTCAATTGCTTTAGATCCATGCTATTTGGTCGGTTAGCGTAGCATGTATTATCTACGCCGCTATTACAATGCTGAGGTATCAGCACTGGGGTGTCAATGCACTGACGTTTCATACCAACATTCGGACTCAGGACTCCGACCACACCGACAAATGGTGGTTTGTAAAGAAAAACGTCAAGCCGAAGTACACTGAGCAGGAAAATAAGGCACTTGCTGTATTTGGCATCATCATTGTGTTGTCTGTCTTTGAAATTATCCTGGCTGCTGCTTTGGCAAAAGTTAGCGATTCAAGCCACAAGGGAGTTCCACAGCCAACCATCCCAATGTACGCTATGTATTATCAGGTAATTTTTTTTTTCGTCTAACTATTACACTTACGTCATAAATGGGAGGAAGAGGGACATAGATATTGCAGTCGCTGAAATCTTTGTAAGATTTCGTATGAGTGGGTCAATTCAATATGCCCAATGACAGTGGCCACAATTACACTGACCTGGCAGTGGCAACTTGGAAGAAATTTGATCTGGCCTGTATCTGACAAAATATTGAACGAAAATATAAACTTAAAGTTGTACAGTCAGCCTTGCTTTTTTCACTGTTTGTTCACAAAAACATTTTGCTGACTAGATCCATTAGGATCTGGCATCTTTGTTTTGTACGTTGGCATTTACTATTTATTTACAAGTTATTGTTTTACTGCATCGTACAATTTAACTTCGAAATACTCAGGATATTTTATGCAATCGCCTTTATTTAGTAATGTACAGTTTTAAGTCATTAAAATTGCACAACGAATACCCAAACAGAAGAATAAATGAAATCGCGAAAAAACTTTCTTCGTTTCTTTTTCTTCAGCAGCAGCCAGTGGGCCAAGTCTGTGGGCTCCCGGGACAAACCAGTGTAGACGTTGAGTCAGGCGTACGGCTAATTACAGCCCAGGATATACCACCTCCGTATTATCAAGTATCTCCTCATTAGAAGTAAAAGACGCTTTCTTTTTTTCTTTCTTTTTTTGCGGAAATACTATTCTCTACTCGAAATATGCTTTGCTGCTGCCATGGCCAAATCAGGTTCATTTTTAACGTTGATCTAGTGTAAGCTACCGGTAGTGATTGTATTTACCTTTCATAGATTGTCAATATAGAGAATTACTTTGCGTTAGTCTTGAATACAATCCTGGACCGAAAGTCCTTGGGTAAGTGATGCAATACTCGTTATTTCTGGATACCTTCATGAAACAGTTGCAGTTGCGGTTGTCAGGTTATTATAGAATTCAGTGCTTGTTATATTTAACATCTTTTTATCAATTACGTTAAAGTTGTAATAATTTTAGGCTGTTATTTTACTCCTTTTTGTTTTGTAAATAATTTGTTTTTTGGGGGCTCGTCTGCCTTGACTCTGACGGGATTTCCCTGAGTAAATAAAGGTATTTAACTTTTATCTTAAATATATATCTGCCAAGGCGAGATTTTGCTTTGAAAACAAAATAGTACTTCTTAACTGCATGATACTGAAAGCGGAGACATAGAAATGCTAGAAAAAAAACTGATTGACAAGAGGTACCAGAGTGAAACCGGTACACTTTCTCCGCACTGCACCACGTTAAATGACAGACGAGTCCACCTTTGTCAGGTCTACGTTGCAAGACAACGGAACGAAAACCACCCGTTACACTTAAATCTCCCTAAACTGGGGGAAGTTCAGCATACATAATTACCATCTGACGTCAGGTGCTAACTACCGCTTGCGACTGATTTGTACCAAGCGCACTCAAGATGAGCACAGTGAAAATTACAAATTAAATTGCATGTACGTAGTCCATTGTGACCATTGTATTGTGTATTACCGGTAGCAGTGCCCGATCCAGACCTTGAGATAAGGGGGGAGCCCGGTCGTCCAGAACCTTAAATAAGGGGGAGGGGGCCGGTCTCCCCCAATTTTTTTTTCGGCCCTTTGGGCCTCAGTTTTCTCTAAAAATAAGGGGAGCTCTGCCCCCCGTGCTTTCCCCTGGATAGGCCACTGGGTAGCCCAGGGCGGAGCCTCCCCGTATAGTCCATAATAGTGAGTCCCCCTGCGGGTGTATGACGAAAGGGAAGAATGGTTTTCGGCGAACATCAGAACTCTATCAGGTCAGTTATTCCTTCGTTTACGGTGTAACATTTGTTACCGTTATTGTAGTTTAAGTATCGTCGTTGACTGTTCGGATATGTCTTCATCGTCAGGTATGTGTGTGTGTTTTGATTTTCTTTAGTATATTTCTTCAGTTTTTTGACGTCTGCACTGGAACATGTAGTTTGCTTGGGCGAGTTGCGTTTGTCTCAAGTGAACAATAGCCCTCGAGCAAATGTATTTCCAGCAGGGATGGCTAACTTTGGTAAAGCTATTTATTGGTCCCTAGAAAGGTCAACCCAGGACACCCGGGATGGATTTTTTTCGTACAGTGCCCAGGCCTCATTTTCTTGGCCGCGCGTTGATCTGGCCCGGCTACTTCGGCGAGCATACTCTTGGCCTTTTTGGATTACATCCTTCAAGTTTGTCAAAGTCTGCGGGAGTCGTTTTTCTATCTCGGAAAGCTTCATTGGTTTCTATATCTGCTGCCATCCTATTTCTTCGATCCTGGCATGTTTATTTTCTGTTGGAGTTCGAATTTCGTGGAAAACGTTGTGTTGAATGAGAGCATGGCGGCGAAGATGGCATCTCGTGTCTCCCACCTTGTATATTATTATTGTATATAGAGTGAACTTGAACAAATTATCACGAAACTTCGTTGGAGCATTAAGAACAACAACAACTAACTGCAGAGTAAGTTTCATTGATCTTTATTTAGTATTTCCTAGAAATTTTAGGATCGTATTTTTACACCATAAAAACACTGAAATTCTAACTGGAACGGTACTGTGGTACTATCACAGAGCCTGGGTTACCTGTGGAAATAATTGTTTGTGAGGCTAACTGGTCGGGAGTTGTAAACTTTCATTGTATGTAAATGAGTCTTGTGATGAGCATGCGGTGTATTTTTGGCGATGATTGAAAGGACGCCCCATGATCTCATTACGTTTTTTATCTCTGGCAATGATGTAATTTCTCTCGAATCGAGGCCCTTGAATTTTCGTGTAACTATACACGCGTATAGCGTGCGACCGCAGATGTATTTCCGGTCGTCGCTAACACGCGTATCAAATCAATTCAGAAACAAATCGTCGAAGACGCTATAAAAAGTAAATATCCTAAAGAATTCTCGACCGTCGATAAGGTAGGAAGTGAAAAACTTTTCGGAAGTCAATCCTGTTCCGTGTAGAATCGCCTCCTCATTTCGTATCTAATCTCCAAGCACGCGACACTTGTAGCCTCTTTAAGAGCGTTCTTACTTCCCGTTGTCACTGTTGTCGTCGATGGTTGTCCAAGCTCCTAATTTATTGAACATAGTTAAACATCTTTCCTAATGGTCCGATCAGTGCTACATGGCGATTGATATTTTTGAAAATGATCTTTAACGTCACGCCTTCCTTCGTAGGGAAGGAATGCGTGACAAAGTCCTAAGACTACCTCTCCGTAGCAGGCTACCAACAAAATTCGATATGGCTCATGCAAAGTCAGTGATAGTGCTACATGATAAATTTTCCTCTATGCTCTTCATATACATGTAATCTAATAGCCCACGTTCGATATGTCAGAATTCTAACATGGCTCCAAGGCGTTTTGGTCGTATAGGACAGTCACGCTGACGTCAGCTATTGTAATATTAATGTACCAATTAGGGCCCGGTTGCATAACACACCCCTAACAATGACGGGTATAATTCACTTATGTGGCTGCACTTACGATTTTCGTAAGTGTTCACTTAATGTCGTTTATGTAACAGAAATTGCGGGTGTTGCATAAAACCTTTTTTACGGTAAAAATAGTACGTAAATTGACGGGACCTATGTAGGTCCTGTATCCTTACTGTTTTTGCTGAAGTTAACGAGACCTTTCACTGAGAAGTGAAAAAAAACTGTTTTTTTACGTAATTTCATTCCCGATGCACTTTTTTAACGCGTGCTGACACTTTAAAGCCGTTGTTAAGAAAAAAGAAGAACAACAAACATTTCCAGTTGATAATGACGTGAAATAACGATTGCATACAAACTTAATTCAGTGAGAGGCGTAAAAGTGTTTGCAGCGCCCTGACACTTTACACTCACCGATGGTTAACTTAAAAAAATAGAGTGAGTCACAATCATAAAGTACTTTAACAAAGCTACAGGTGGCAGATGGGGGAGGTAAGGGGCTCATCGTACACCAAGCCAAGCGTATACTTCTACTCAAATGTCACAGAATGTCCTCTGCCCAGGTCCTGTGGAACAAAAGCTGTTTGCTTGCTTGTAACGTTAACTGTATCTGGATCGTTCACGATCAACTTTTTGACAAGCATAAGTAGGCCGTACGTTGTTCAGACGTCGATCTTGCTCCATGGTTCCTTCTAGGTATATCTCAGAAGTCGTCAAAGGGCGGAAAATGTATGCTACGAAGTCTCCATTGCCATGCACAGTTAATAGCAAATTCAATCTTATAACATGCTGACTACCTCTCTAAGGAGCGTTTTTGTAACAGGAGTTTATGGAAAGCTGGGGTAGCCGACATTTTGACAAAAGTGGAGGAGGAGGAAGGGCGGGCGCAGGATGCTGATCTTTACAAAGTTTGGTCATTTGGAGGGACCAGATGATCATACTGATCATATGCCTCTTGCCCCGGCGTGCCCAATCGATGGAAATCGATCATGATAGGAAACCAATCGATATCATCTGAATGTAATCGATAATAATGAATCGATTGGTTTCACCAATCGGTGAAAATCGATACGCACAATGCAAGTCTTCTTGATTTCATCGATTTTAATTAATCAGCCTTAATAACTGAACGATTTGCCCCGGGCGTAAGCGGCTACGTTACGCATCCGTAACCGTGGACCCTAGTCAGTCTTGCCTAAGTCTTGCGAGTCGTCAACGACGGGCAAAATGAACGTTTTATTAATAGAGCCTGTAGTGAAGGGCTATCAGCAGTGCCCATTTACAGTACGGATGGGTGAATCATTTGTTCTCGAGAAATAATCGGCGCCCAGGGAGAGGCACTCGGAGTTGTGAACTCGAAGGGACAACTGGGGCATATTCAAAAAGAGCTTGTGACAATTCTATGGCCGCTATTAAAAGGGCGTTGGCCCCGTATCATGGTTTTCAACTGATCAGACTTTCGAAGAGAGTTTTCAACACACTTTCAATCATTTTTTTCGTATTTTCGCCACATCTAGATGGAAGGCAGCAGGTGAACGACAAATCTCTTTTAAGAAAGAGAAAAAATTACAATAGGTAAGAAATTCAGTTACTAATAAGAAGCTCAAACGTATCTGAAATCATTATTAAACGATTACCACTGACAATCTATATAATCGATGAAAATCAATGAAAATCGATGATCACTTTAGATCTTCGATTTTTATGGATTTTTGATATTAATCGATTAGTTACAGTTGATTTTATCGATTATCGAATTTTATCGATTGGGCATGCCGGGCTCTTATGTTGTTGTCAGAGTTATGTAGATTTTCTGATGTGATGATTACTTGGAGGGAAATAAAACAAGAAATCGGATTGAGATTCAGCGATTAATAATTCATTTTTATATTATCATTATCATAATCGTTGTGGTTATCGTTACCGTTATCGTTTTCGTTTTCGTCTCCGTTATCGTTTTCGTTTTCGTTTTCGTTTTCCGTTTCGTTTTCGTTATCGTTTTCGTTTTCGTTTTCGTTTTCCGTATCGTTTTCGTTATCGTTTTCGTTATCGTTTTTGTTATCGTTTTCGTTTTGGTTTTCGTTTTCCGTTTCGTTATCTTTATCGTTATCGTTATCGTTTTTGCTATCGTTATTGTTGTCGTTTTCCTTTTCCTTTTCGTTTTCGTTATCGTTATCGCTATCACATCATTCTCCTCAGCCTTGAAGCCAAGTATGATACTTTCTACAGTGGAAGCTCTTGTAGGCGGACACCCCGGAGACGAAAAAATGTTGTCCGTTACTGGAGCCGCAAATTTTAAAATTAAAACAGTAAACGGAACTGGAGCTGGGCGCTTGCGAGAACTGATGATCTCATAAGTGGCTATTAGAGATGTAAGGGTTAAATGGCCGCTTACCGGAGCTTGCTCAATTCGAATAAACATTGGAAATGCAAAAAAGCTGTTCCTTGGTGTTTGGCTATAGTGTTGTTTTCACAATGTTTTAATTCAGTCACAAGCATAAAATTCAAGTGGTGTGTTGAAGTGCCCGGACATGTTTGTGAAAAAAGAAAACAAAAGAAAACACTGAATCTGATATAAATTCATCTTGATGAACAGCGAGATGAAATACTAGTTTCAGAGGGTAATGCGTGGACGGAAGTTAGAGGTAGGAAGTTGCGCTTTGAATTAGAATTCATTTCAGGTGTTAGCTTAAAGGAACTTAAATTCAAAGCCAAAACCTCGTAAGCCTTGAAAGTGACCGCGGCCACCTACGGTTAAGTTAATTATAATTCTTACTATGGAAGGTTTTTTTTTTGCCCATAAAATACACAAAATTCTCCTCAAAGGTTCCAGTTAGGAAAAAGGTTGGTTTTCGTTAGCGACAGAGTCGGAGTCGTAATCAGAAGCGTAGACTAGCCTTATGATCTAGTGAAAATAGCGTTCCGATTCCGCTTATGACTCCGTCGCTTACGTTCCGCTCATGATCTACTGAAAACCAGATGGTCGGAGCGGGAAGCAGAAGGGGAAGAACTAAACCAATCACAAAACGTGGGAACGTGCATTGTGATTGGTTTAGTTCTTCTTCTGGCTTTCACTAGATCATAAGCGGAACATAAGCAACGGAGTCGGTAGAAATGGAAAGAAATGGAAACTGATTCTTCTGATTCGGATTCCGTCGCGCTTATGACTCCGCTAACGATAACATGTTTTTAGGTGATTTCTACAGGCAAAAGTTGGCTCAACTAGTACAAGTTTCAATCCATGACAGATGACAGAAAACAGTTTCATTCCTAAATATAGTCTCAATTTACAAAACTGGTCCATTATTGTCAGAATTCAGTTCATGCAAAGACACAGTTTAACTTTTAAGAAAGATAGCAAATAGCTTAACAGCTGTAACTGTAAGATAATATGCGTATGACGTCGCCGTATTTTTAATAGTATTCAACAAACACTTCCTTGTGCTGCAAGAAAACTACGCTTTCCAATCAAGCTTCGATTCCTCATTTTTTAATTTGCAACTGCCATGGAAAATACTAACAAGAGAACCCTGACATTGTTATCTTCTTTTCAAATTACGATTTCCGTCTTATTTTTCATTCTGGGATTAGTGGACGGACTTGAAATCCGCTATAGATGTGTTAGCCTCGTGTTTTCGCCATGTTGGATTATTCCTCTGGTAAGTTAGTGCTTCTGATTCTTCTCCGTTCTTACACTTGTCAATGACTTAACTCTTTGTAAGATTATATTTCGTCATGGATAAAGGTGTTACTGCTCGAATGATAGTACAAGAGAAGAGAAAACCTTCTGAACTTTTTGCCGTGGGATCTTGACGCTTATTTTTATGTGTATGTTAATTCATTAGGAGTGGTCGTCTCGCTTTCACAGTGATATTAGAGTCCGAGCATCCGCAGTAACTGTGACAGGGACAAACGACAGAACTTTGCGAAAGTTCATAGTTGTTATTCACTGTTCAAAATATGAAAATAATATGCTGTTAAATTACAAATCACTTTGAAAGTGCACTTAAAAAGTTCTAAGTTTTTCACTGCCAATGTCTCGATGGATAGTGTTGGCCCATCTGTCAATATCAGGGCGGCGGTGTAATGCGGAGTAGGACTGGCACGAGCGCTTTGCCGAGCTTCCGGAAGCTTCCGGTGCACCTGATGGCCGGCGAAATTTTCTTTTTTGCAAACCGGAAATCTAATTCTATTTCTGTAATTTCAGGCTACATTGTTAAATACATAAATTTGTTTCATAACGGTATTAATAAACAGTTTCATATGTTTATGTCTGTAGGCCCCACAAGTCAAACTTGTTGGTCTTATAATGCCAAAATTTGAGTTTAATTTGAAAGTGTTGAATGCCCCTCCTTCCACTAAATATCACCTAATCGTCTTTCGCCGTTTGCAAAAGCTTAACACTTCTTAACTTTAATTTTTACATATGTCAAAGGGGGAAAAATTTTATATAGCATAACAAAAAATTAGCTCGATACATTTGGATATAGTGGCGTTGTACTACTACAAACTTTGTTTCTCGGGTGCAACGCGCCATGGCGATTCGCACAATGCGTCGCAAATCCGGCAACCGCATGAGAACAAAATTTATTGAAAGTTAATTGTAAGTTTTTTTCGGTTTTCTCTCGAAAACAAAAAAGTAAACAGTAAAACCTGAGGAGAAACTTATTTTGAAGTTCCGAAGAAACAGAAAGACGTATGAAGTTTTGTCAAAATATAGGGAAGCGTGATGTTGATTTCAATCAATCAAGCATAATTAACCTTGCACGAGTTGTACGAATTTATAAAATACACGTCATGTAGTTATGAAACGCCATCTGCTGTCTTTTAATACTTTTGCCATGGATGTGGTTTTGCTTCGTGTTTTAGACAGTTTTTAGTTTCTTTAGGAAGGCCGGTCATGGAAGAAACCAGAGAAGCCATTTTAATCAGCAACTCATAATTTGATCCCAGTCCACTGCATCACACCTTTTTGCTCGGACGTGCTCGTTTCACCGCCCAACCTTTATCCTCCCTGGTCAATATTATACTTCCCCGCTTTGCGATAAGTGTTTTTAGCGAAAAGCCGGAAGCTTGTTTATGTCGGAGAAAATACAACGATGGTTACATTAACTAGTTATTTTATACAGCCTTGCCCATGTCAGTTTCCACTTAATTGTAAACGGAATTCGCACCAAATACAACAAGAAACATCTCAGAAGTTTGACCGACGCCGTTATTATTTGGATTATTCCACAAAATTTCAGCAATTCCGTTCGTTCGTGAAGTATTACACCTTGTTACTTGACGTATCGTACGAGCAGAGTCCGCTAGTAGGCGTGTTTGCGCATACTAACTTCTCCAATATGAAGGATGCGAACGACTCCGCACAGATATAGATAGTACTAAAAGCAACCATGATGCCTGAAAGAAACCTCTACTCGAAGGGTATACACGATGACAATGGCAATAAGAACGTGCAAGTGAAAACACTTTTTTTCGTTACCGTCTACAACGAAAAACTTTCTAATGTGACGTTTTATGTTGTGGAGGACGTGTCGACACGGACGACGAATTTCCTGTCTCGGTTTCGTCTACATTTTATAATTTATATTGACAAATTGAGCGAAGCTAAATAAACGCGATAGACAGGTTGAAATGTGAAGGGAATTTCAGTTAAGTAACGTTTCAACTTCCCGTTGTCACTGTGTTCTCGTCGGTGGTTGTCCAAGCTCTCCATTTATTGAACGTGGTTAAAAATCTTCCCTAATTGTTCGACCAGTGCTGCATGAAATCTCCAATGCAAACGATTGATATTTTTTAATTGTCCGCATTTCTTGCATTAACACCAAACCATGTCATTCAGTCAGCATTCTAAAAAGTCAGCTTGAGCACGTAAGTGCAGTTTTTATGCCACCAGGCCCACAAGCGCACTGGTTCTTGTAACAAACCTCTTTTTTCATTCACTCGTTACAAATTTAAATAAGCAGTGATGACCCCTGTATTTATCTTTGGTTTGGTCTTCTTGGTGTCTCTTCTGGGAATAACGGAGGACAATAAGGAGTGATTTTGTTAACAGTGTCCGCATTTAGCATTTTAGCTAAATCTTTGATTCTCCGACGAAATACTCAAATGCATATAAAATAATGTAGTATTTAAGTATGCAAATTTAATTCTGTTCTGTGCGTTTACTGTTCAGACTCTTGCAAATGGCATCATGGGACTTCTTTTAAGCCAAAGCCGTAAAAGATCGTCAAATCTGGTAAGATTTTCTCGATAAACACTCTTAGACGTCTGACAGAGGAAAACATAACCTAAAATTCCGAAAGAGAAGACTTTTCCCCCGTCCCTCTCCAAGGCTTGGCCGGTTGGGAGGTACCCTGGGCGCATCGAGACACCCTTCCCACGGCTGAAGACTGAGCCTAGCTCCTCCCCACTTGACCACCACCACCACAAAAAAAAAGTTGCAACAACAACAGGTGAGGCAAGCTAACGCATTAGAAAGTGAAGTCCCTCCGAAAGTATTGATCGCCTCGTAGAAGAGGAGCAGCATTATCGGAGAAAACTGGAACTTGCACCGCCTTGAAACTTATTGAAGTGGCAGATACTGGAGAGAGCAAAGCAGAACGGCTGTTGTCGCTTTCGAAAAGACTCAACGAGACGAAACAAGTAAATACGCGGCTGTGTAACATGTCCCCTTCGGGCTAAATACTTCCCTTCCGCTCCTCACCATATCTTTTATCCAGAATAAAAGGGTACTGTATTCAAGTCCCCCAGAGAAAAAAAATATGTGCAGTATCTCATAACCCGGAGTAAGTAACTTCATGTACTCGTGTCATGGCGTTCTTCCTAACCATTGGCGCGAATTTAGAATATTTTGCCAAGTCCCACAAACCCGTCAAAACCTACAGAACTGAAAATGGTATTTTGACCTTTTAATGACGTTTAGGTCTCCTTATGCAGGCCTTATTTTTCAAATGCGGACGGAGAACCGGTCTATGTCAATCTAAAAATAAACCGGTCCGTGCAAACGCCGTGACGTAGGCCTAGTGTGAGAGTTGCTAGCTCCATGTTATGGGCTCCTGATATATGCCTATTCAAAAGTGAACTTCGTGTTCTGATTAACATACCTGAGTCATCTCTTCAGTAGACTTAATAATTTATTGATTTCAATTTCAATTTTTCTTTAGATCCATGCTATTTGGTCGGTTAGCGTGGCATGTATTGTCTACGCCGCTATTACAGTGCTGAGGTATCAGCACTGGGATGTCGAATTACTGACGATTCGTGCTCACGGTAGACGGAACTCAGACTACTTCCGCACATTTGTAAAGAAAAACGTCGAGCCGAAGTACACTGAACAGGAAAATGATGCACTTGCTGTATTTAGCATCATCATTGTGTTGTCTGTCATTGAAATTATCCTGGCTGCTGCTTTGGCAAAAGTCAGCGATTCAAGCCACAAGGGGGCTCAACAGCCCACCATCCCAATGTACGCTATGTACACCGTAATTTTTAGGGAGTTATTATAACTCCAAAAATGGAGTAAAAATTTTAGGTACAGGATAACCCCTTTTTTGGGGTTATTTTAACTCCTAATTTAACTCCGAATTTGGGGTCATTTTTACTCCTGAAAAAGAGTTCTTTTTACTCCCAGTCTTGGAGTTAAAATTACTCCGAAATGGGGTTACTTGTACTCCTTACAGGGGTTGTTTTCACTCTTTTTGGAGTTAATTTAGCTCTGAAAGTGGAGTAAAAATTTTAGGTACAGGATAACTCCTTTTTTGGGGTTATTTTAACTCCTCAAAATCTGTGGTCACTTTTACTCCTGAAAAAGAGTTCTTTAAACTCCTTTTTGGAGTTAAAATAACTCCACGAAAAATAACTCCACTGTAAGGAGTTAAATTAGCCCCACTAGAGGAGTTATTATAACTCCCTGAAAATTACAGTGTACTATCAGGTACGGCAATAATGCATGGCATTGTGAAATGTAATCATACTATGAAAAACACATTCGTTTTTTTTTTGCGTCTAACTATAATTACACTTGCATCATAAATGGGGGGAGGGGCATAGATATTGCATTCGCTTAAATTAAATCTTTGTAAGGTTTTGTTTATATGAGTAGGTCAATTCAATTTGCCCAGTTACAGCGGCCACAATTACACTGACCTGGCAGCGGCAACTTGGAAGAATTTCGATCTGGCCTGTACCTGACGAAATATTGGAAGAAAATGTAAACTTATAGCTGTACAGTCAGCCTTGCTTTTTTCACTGTTTGTTCCCAAAACATTTTGCTGACTAGATCCATTAGGATCTGACATCTTTGTTTTGTGCGTTGGCATTTGCTATTTCTTTACAACATATTCTTTTACTGCATCGTAGAATTTAACTTCGAAATATTAGCTCACGATACTATATGTTTTGCAACCGCCTTTATTTAGTAATGTATGGTTTTAAGTGATTAAAATTGCACAACGAAACGCAAACAGAAGAAGAAATGAAATCGTGAAGTAACTTTCTTCGTTTCTTTTCCTTCAGCAGCCAGTGGGCCAAGTCAGTGGACTCCCGGGACAAACCAGTGCAGACTTTGAGTCAGGCGTACGCCTAATTCCTGCTCAGTATAGACAACCTGCTTAAAATCAAATTTCTTCTCATTAGAAGTAAAAAACGCTTTAATTTTCTTGTTTTTCTTTCTTTTTTTGGCGGAAATACTACATGTATTCTCTACTCGAAATACGCTTTGCTGCTCCCATGGCCAAATCAGGTTTATTGTTAACGTTGATCTAGTGTAAGTTACCGGTAGTGATTGTATTTACCTTTCATAGATTGTCAATAGAGAGAATTACTTTGCGTTATCTTGAATACAATCGTGGACGAAAAGTACTTGGGACAGTGATGCAATATTCGTTATTATCTGTAATTTCTAGATACCCTCATGAACTTACAGCGCTTTCATTTTAAATACCTTTACAGTTGTCAGGTTATTATAGAATTTTAATCAGTGCTTGTTATATTTGATATCTTTTTATCAATTACTTTAAAGTTGTAATAATTTTAGGTTGTTATTTTACTCATTTTTTTTATTGTAAATAATTTATTTTTCGGGGCTCCTTTTGATAACATCGTCTGCCTTGACTCTGATGGGATTTCCCTGAATAAATAAAAGTATTTAACTTTTATTTTGAATATATATCAGCAGTGATGAGATTTTGCTTTGGAAAATGATAGTATTTCTAAACTGCCTTGGTACTGAAGCGGTGCCGTAGAAATGCTAGGAAAAACTGACTGACAAGTGGTTACCTTAAATAAGAGACGAGTCCACCTTTGTCAGGTCTACGTTGCAAACAACAGAACGAAAACCACCCGTTACACTTTATTCTCCCTAAACTGGAGAAATTTTAGCATTATTATCATCTGAGGTTAGGCGCTAACTACCCCTTTGCTCCCGAGTTGTAAGACCAAGCGCACTCAAAAATGCGGCATTACTTTTAAGTATTAGTTGTTGGTAGTTAGTGATTTTTAAACTAGCTCAGTTAACAATTTATTATCTATTTCTGTACATATTATTTTGCGATTTTAAGTAGCTCTCTAAATCAGCCTTATATGTACCATTTGTTGTTGCAATGAGTTTCTTTTAATATACAGTAATTTTGATGAGCACAGTGAAAACTACAAATTAAATTACATGCATGTACGTAGTCCATTCTGACCGGTGTCTATTTGCCTTCGTAACCTATATACCTGTTCTAAAGTTGGATTGCGCTATCCACCGGATAAATCACTATCCAATAAATAAGTGTTAGGGAAACCAATTGCACTAGTCCATAATAGAGAAGAATACTTTTTTCAAAAATCAGAACTCTCTTCCCCTCAGATGCAATTGTATGCCACGTGCTAAAGTGCGCGCGCGCGATGGCGTGTGCTGTCTAATTAATTAGATACGACGCGTACTATCCTATTGCACTCTCCTGTTAGTGGTGAGATCTGGACCATTCCGATTTGAGAATGTTGTTGCTTATATTCATGATTAATGATATAACATATTTTGTTGTTATAACACGCTCACGCGACACACTTATGCACACGCTAAGCGTGTATTAAGACTCGGGTATACCGGAAAGTTTTCGTTTGAATCTTTTTGAAAACGCGGGATTTCTACAGGTGTGAGTGACGTGCATCAACCTATGTTCCGCGTGTTCCGCCTATGTAATATTACTGACCGGACTTTTTATCTCAGGCTTAAGTTTGATATGCTTCCGATTGCGTGTCATGCGTAGATGGCGGTTTTTTTTTTTTGACGTGTTCTCGTTTTGGGTTCGTATATACACTGTCGAGAGCGAGGTAAAACGCGAAAACGATGGGAGAGGGGTGAGGAGGAAAAGAGAAAAACCGCCGGTTTTTCTTCACTGCTTTCTCCGCTCGCCCCCTCCCCCCATCGTTTTCTAATTCGAAAGCGAAACGATTGTGAAACTTTTGAAGACAGATTTGGATCTATACCTTAATCTATACCAGTGCGACTGCTGAAAATTTGCCAAATATCATTTATACTACGTGGGTAGGAAAAATGCCTAAGAGTTTTTCCGGAAAACCATCTAAATTTTGTGCGATCTGAATAAAAATGTCAACTGCGTTAGTACGCAGGAACATGAAGCTCGTGACGTCAAACGTAACTCTTCCTGGTATTTGTGAACACCGCTACGAACTAGTGCTTTTCAATAAAGCTTCCTCATTCGCTAACAAGCAACTGCAATGGAAAAATCTAAGAAGATAACCCTGGTATTCCTGTCTCTTTTCCAAATTGTTATATCAGGCCTTTTCTTTGTACTTGGAATGGTAGACGGACTTGTGATTCGCTTTGTTTAAGTCAGCCTAGTGTTTTCGCCCTGTTGGATTGTTCCTCTGGTAGGTTCTGTGTTAAATTTTTTCCAAGCACCGAGATCTTTGTAAGAGTATGTTTTGTTGAAGGTAAAGACAATATCGCTCTGGAAAAAAAAACGATCTGTTCAAACGCTTATTAGCGCAATGGGGGTAAATTTTAATGTGGGTTTCTTTTTCTTTTCTTCAAAAGCATTTTTTCGGATTGTTCTTTCTGGTATCCAATCATTAAGTCGTATGCAAAAAGGAGTAAACTGAATTTGCTTGTTAAGCTTTCAGTCGTGTGATGAATTCAATTTTCTCACGTTCGTCTCGCGTGACTTAGCATCTGAGTTAACACTTATCTGAATTTCATGATGCAGTCACATGAGAGAAATCAGTTTTCAAAACCGTGCAAAAAATGTCAAAGCTTAACTTTCTGTGTTCATTTAGAACAATTTAATACGTTTCTGATGATCTACAACACTAAGAAAAATTTTCACTTTTTGGCAGGGGCCAATATTCAAGACAATTTCGTTCGTGCGTAAAGTATAAATTGAATTGCGGTTAAGAAGCTTGTCATTTTAAGGACTTAAAATGAAAAGACATTAAATTTGCAAAAACAAAAATTATCCAGTGTACGTACTAAATACTTAATTGTATCTGATGAATGATTGTTTCTTAGGTATTTTGATCAGTAAGGTTTAGTGTCCAGAAGGATATTTTGCGAATTTCCTTCCAGCGATATTTATGCGAAAATTATCTTGTAACGTGAAATCATGGTGAAATTGAATTGCTCGCGGCGCGCAAGGCGACAAACACTTGCGATACCCTGCGATACCTCCTGTTAGAAAGATAGTTAACCCGTTAATTGCAGATTAGAAGCTAGACGCAATGACAAGTGATTTCTGTATGACTTCTCGTAGAGATAGCAGCTGAGATAGTAGGATCCAACCTCGGTCTCCATGCCAGTTCGCGAAGCGAATACTCACGACCGGTACAAGCTTGACAAGTGGCGTCACATCCGAAATCGCCAAGAACGATTGGGAAGGCTGAGTGAACTTATGATCAAAAGAATTATGCAATTATGTTCGGATGCATGGTGTAAATACTATGACAACAACAACCGATCTGTATTTATTTTATTGATTACTCAAGTTCATGAAATAATTGTTTTTATACTACTACATGAGAAATTCTGCAATCTGATTGGCTTCCTACATGTGAAAACTACAAATCTTTTGTGGGTAGTAGTGTAAACAAATAATAGCATGATTTGTACGTGATATTTGGCATAAATACCACTTGTCAAATTTCAAAATTGACTCAAATAACAATTTCGAAATATCACTCGTGGTATTTATGCCAAATATCACTACAAATCACGCTATTACCTATACAAAGTAATTAAATATTTCATTCATTCTGTAATTTTGCTCTTTTACTACTTAAGGTTCTTTCAAACGGGATTATGGGACTGGTTTCGATCATAATTCACAAGAGATCTTCACTTCTGGTAAGATTTCTCGACAAGGACATCAATTTAGCCTTCAGGAGAACAAACAGCACCTAAAGTAACGGTTTTTCTAAAGAAAAGCATTGAAATTTGTCTTAAAGCAACTACTTTCCAGTAGTAGGCAACCATGGCTCTTGTAGGCCACTTAAGTTTTTGTTGTTGTTTTTTGTCTTACTTTTCTTTCTTTCTTTCTTTTTTTTTTTTTTTCATTCATTGAGTCTTTGTTGGTGCTCAGTTGTCAAAAGATGGAACTAAAAGACTGAGCTGCGAAGTTTTAACTTATTACCGCCAAATACATTTAAATACTCGTTTTACCCGAAAAACAGAGTCCCCACATTCAATTTCACGTAGATAAAGGTGTTTTAAACTATAAGGTTTAAAAAAAAATTGAACCTCCACCCCTACCAAAGAGGAAACTTACAATTGTAAATACTCCCGATAAAAAAGCATTAAAATTAAAATAAAAAATAAACCCAGCGTAAACACAAATTCTTTTATTTTAAGGTGGCCAGATAGGGTCTTTCAGGGTCAAAACCTCCCAAGTATTAAGGATAAAGTACGTCTCTATTAGCAAAGATTTCGAAAAATTACCACCACGGCTTGATGTTCGAAAGTTATCTGTTGAAAACGAAGCGCTAGTTTTGAAATGTAATTTTAACTTCATGGTACTTTCAATCGTTTTTTTAACGTGTGTGAACTGAGATCACTGAGATAACGGCGACGTTGCTCAAACTTAAGGGGTATTGACCCTGCCCTGAAAAACTCTATAGAGCCCCCTGAACACCATTAACGGACTATCGGAAAAACTTAAGCTAATGGATATTCAAGCATTGATAATTTTTTCTGAAAAGCCATGGCCTTTCAGAAATTTTAACTCTTGAATTTGATTTTGTTTAGATCCATGCTATTTGGTCGGTTAGCGTGGCATGTATCATCTACTCCGCTATTACAGTATTGAGGTTTCAGACTTGGGGGGTCCAATTGCTGTTGTCAAACAAGATTGCAGGCTACTACGAACACTCCGGCGAGTACTTTGTAAAGAGAGATTTCAAGTTGAAGTACACTAAACAGGAAAATAGGGCACTTGCTGTATTTAGCATCATCATTGTGTTGTCAATCATTGAAATTATCCTGGCTGCTGCTTTGGCAAAAGTCAGCGATTCAAGCCAAAAGGGGGCTCAACAGCCTGCCATCCGAATGTACGCTATGCATTATCAGGTACGGTAAAAATGGCCTTATGAAATCGCTTCGTTCAACATACAACGTAAATGGCCGCTTATGAGCTCTGGGCTTATACTTCTTCGTATGAAAGGGGTCATGTTTGGGAGGGCTTATAAACGGATGGGCTCTCAGTCCACTTAGGGCATGACTGAAAATTGAACTACAGATGTATCTCAATGGCCTTAGCAATATGTGATATTTTAGAAGCTCAAATTTTTGTCACGTGACTGATAATCGAAAATTAACGGTCCAAAAATTTACTCTAAAGGTTAATGAAAGAGAAACAAGTTCTTTCAGGTACATTTCAAAGGCTATTAGAAAGGTTCTAGAAAATTCGCTTTGTATGTGTCTTTACGTGTTATAGGGATCGGTAAATAAAGGGAGAAGGGTCACGGGGTGACTTATTAATTAAATAGCTAATAATATTGATTAGTTAAATAGCTAATAGGATAAATAATATTTCCAATCATACAAGGCAGATTACGATTTACACTGTTTATGTAACATTTTTTTAGTGACCATTCCTAAGATTAAGGTTTGCAACCCTTCCCCGTTTAGGAAAACGTGTTTTGTGACCTCATTGAGGAAGCATTGTCACGTGTTGTTTGAATTCACGTTTCAAATGTTTTTTTCGTTGAGCCACATCTGAAGTTCACTTATCAGGATCACTGACTGATGGAAGCAAACCGTTCTAAATAGCATTCAACAAAATATGCATATTTAACTAGGCAGTCATGCCTTAAGTGATTATGCGTAGGCTTATACATGTTCGTGGTGTTTTGGGAGGGTTAATAAAAGGAGGGGCTTATATCCGAAGGGGTTACTGAATAACTGGAGTAGAAAAAGTTCTTCAAAATAAGCTTTAGCAGTGCTAATAAAAATACGTTTTGCATTTACTGGTTTTTAAGTGCATGAGCTTCAAAACGTCATAAGAAATCGAATTCATTCCAATACATTTGGAGAAGGGGCTTATATCCAGTGGGCTTATAATCGGATATATTTGTTTGTATGCAGGAAGATGGGCTTATAAGTAGGGAGGGGAGGGGGGGGCTCAATTTGTGGGCAGCAGTTTACGTAATGTGTTTAGTTTGTCTACCTCTGATGGCCACTGTCCATGATATGAATAATATAAAATGCATAGCCTTTGCTGACGAACAGAAGAAGAATTGAAATAACATTTAAGTGATTGTCTTTGCCTCTTTTCGTTCTACAGCCAGCTCAAATCAGAGACGTCCGAGGACAAACCAGTGCAGGTTTTGAACCCGCAGACGTAACTGATTGTGCATCCCCTTCTTCTCATCAAATAATGGTTCCCGAAACACGAGTTACTTATGTTGGAAGTTATAATCATAATGAGAGTAATGGCGAGGGGTAGGTTTAGGCCAGAAAAGCCTGTTAGCATAAAGTTCAAGCTAAAACTGTGGGCTACGATAAAACATTAATTGTACATACAAAAGCTTGTAGATTTAGGGATTTATCTCCCGAAGAAGATCTCCCGAAGTAATTAGCTCAATAATAATTTATAGGCTCCAGAACTTTGTATATAGCTCTGGGCATGCTGAGTGATATTTAAAGTCTGTTCGAGGAACGGGGCCCAAAAAGGCTGTATATTTAGTTAGTATACAAAATTCAAAATTCAGAGCAAAATCACTATTTATGGTAATATATTTTTGATGGCAAGACGTGCGAGCATTCAATTCTCACCCTTCTAAATCTGCGAATGGGCTGGAGGGGTAATGTTGCAATTGAAGTTGTGGTGAGATGTACAGAGTTCAAAAGATGATTTTTAGTTTTTAAATATATTATAATTCAACATCTTACCTTTTTGTTTTTTATGTATCAGAAATGTGCAGTGTTAACTCACATCTTTGCTAAACACAAAAAATGGATAGACTGTAACCGAAAAACTGCCATAAACAGATAGTGGAGAGAAAAGGACCTGGCTATATCATTTTTTTCATTCTCTGCAAAGAAATCGAAAGAAAATGTTTTTGGAGGTGTGTGTGAGAGAGAAAGAGAGACACTCCCCTCCTCTCACCCCCGCCCCCTTCCCTCCCCCCAAACGTACCCTTCTTGTACATCTGGGGGTTAATAGGGAGGGCGTCTTTATCAAACCTCCCTTTTTTACTCATTACTGTAACAAAGGAAGGTCTTTTGTTAATTGAAGTAAAATAATAGACATGAACTGGTTTTTTTCTTTTCCCGGGACTAAGTTTGGTGTGTTTTCTTTATGGGATCCTTCACTATTCAAGACTCTGACGACTGTGACCTCGAACACGAAGATCGACAAACGAAAAGAAAACGTTTATTCAATAAATATGTTATCTATCTCTTTGCAACTTATTTACCGGGGAAGGGGATCTACATCACCCTAACTGGCTTAAAGTCGTTTTTAGCGCATGCGGGAAAGCTATAGATAGCGTGAATGTGGCTTGGTGATGGATGAACTCCTGCAACAATGAATGTTGAAATCTCGGGCGATTTTTTGGACTCCTTTTCCCGGGCATCATAAAAACTTAAAATGCTTCCCTCATTCTTGGGAAAAACAGTGGTGGCGTGGCGAAAAGTCAGCTGTTTTTTCAGGCTACTCCTGCTTCACGTCGACACATTTACAATCTACAATATTCTGTCCCGGGCTTCAAGGTGCAGTAAAAAGCGATGCGAAAAACGCGCCCCCTGCCTAGATCAAGCGCGTTTTATTTTCGCTTGGCTTGTTTATTTTATTTTCGCGATGTCCCTACTATCTGAGAGCCTTGCACAGGCTTGTTAATAACGCTCTAATGTATCTAAAAAAACACACAAGGATGCACTCATTATCGCGTTCGTCAGAACACATCCTAATCAGGTGTTCCTGTGGCACTAAGGCAGAAATTTTCCAGCTATCAAGGGCGACTGCAAATTAGCCGCCCCTATTAGTTTTATCAGAGGCACCTCGGCCGGAAAACTGGCCTCCCATCGACTCGATTTCGTTTCTGTAATTTTCCGTAAGTGACGAACGCGGCTTCGTAATCAATGATTACCTCAAGTATTAGAGAGTTTTAGCTTCACGTATTTACGGCAAACGGTAAACGTCTGATTCAACTGAGTTGAGAATTTCTCAAGATAAAAATGAGCACCGGATAAAGGCAGTTCAAAAGAATTCTTATAGATAAAAGGTTGAGTGAAACTACTGAATTCGGTATATGTAAAAGGTAAACAGTAAACGACAGTTAAAAGAGAAAGTTGGTCACGTGGTACAAATTCGCCTTTGCAGTTTGACGTATACAAGAAGCTAAAACTCTCTACTGTAACAAATGCAACTGGTTACTGTGCGGAGTGCCCCCAGAGTCATACCTATTGGAATAATTTAAGGAACAAACCTCTTTTTGGCTGTACTCAAGAACCGCGTTCTTCAGTGATTACCTATAATTAATTCTCTAGTTATATTGAGCATGTTTCGATTTGTCTCTTGGAAACCAAGAAGTCGGAACATTTAAAGAGGTTTTAAGGACTGACAGTAACTGAATACCTCAGGCTTCACCTCTGCAAAGCCATGGAACGTGCTCAAAAATGCAGCCTGATCGCCCTCTCAGTTGTACAAATTATTATGTCTGCTGTCTTCTTGACGCTTGGTTTGGTTGACGGTTTGAAGATCCGCTATGGATCTGCAAGCCTATTGTACAAGCCGTGTTGGCTTGCAGCCCTGGTAAGTGGTCAAAGAACGTGAGTACAAGCTATGTCACCTTTTAAAAGTATCAAGTCCTCACTCTAAGTCCCCTGTTTTTCATTTTTATGTGCCTAAAATTTGAAACAGTTTACCTAGTAATCATTCAAATACATTTAATCTGTTTCCGCTCTTTTAAGCAACGGTTTGAACATTTGTTGTTGCACAGTCATGGCTGTTTATTTGGCAAGGGGCATAAAATATAACTTTGAGTTTAGGAAAGTCTTAGTCTATATACAATTAGTCGGAAAAACAATTTGAGCTAAAAGATTCTAGTTATTTCGGCCAGTCAATATATTTCCGCATAACAACAATTGCAGCGTAAGTACTAGGCCACCACGTAGCACAATCATCAGTTGATATTGCCTCTGTTGGCTCCTGTGGTCGGGCGCCTGGTATTTTATGGTCAAGTTGTAAACCATGAATAAGATTCTTTGTTTATTTTACAAGAACTGAGACTCAAAAATTAACAGACAGCCCTAAACATATTCTCTCTTAAGTCTTCGGTCACTTTAGTATCTCTTGCTGCTTGACCGATTGCTAATTTGAAGCGCGCTTTTCTTTAAATAATTAAACATTTTAAGAATGATATTTTCTTTTCGGCTGAGCGAAGCAGCAATCCAAAGAATTCTCTCTTATCTTCATTTCTAACAGCATACTTAAATGATAACTAAAAAAGATATTTTTTGTGGATGTAAATGCTTCCTAGTTAAGTGTGTTAACTGTCGCGGATGCAAATATTACTTCTCTGACGTCACAAGCCTATTTTGCTTTCAGGAAGCAGATCTTGCTCTAAGGTTTTGAATTTTTTAAGAGAATCCAACATTGGATTCTGGCGTAAAGATTGTTTGAATCGGGTCACAATGAAAGAAAAAAGCCTCTTAAAATGGATTCTCTGAGAGTGTGCCAGCAATGCAGGCGACCAGCGAGAACGTGACGGATCCCATGTTCTCGCGTGAAAGCTACTGGCCAGGTGCACCGCTTTTACCTGTTTTGACCTGTTTTACCAGTTTTTATCTTTTCCCTGACAGTCTCTTCCATTTGGAATCATGGGACTGGTCTTAGCCCGCTCTCGCAGACCTTCTCCGATGCTGGTAGGGAAAGCTGCATTATAATTATAATCACCTAGCTAGCCATCTAACAGGATAATTATAACAGTTTAAAGGTTCTTGATCAAAAACAAGATGATAACAAGAGTGTTCCTCGTCTCCCGGTACCAAAAGAAAAAAAAATATTACATTACAGAGTACACAGACCCTCGGACATACGAGCAATTCCATATCCCCTTCTGGGGGGAAAGGGAGGGGCGAAACCTTTCTTGGGGTTCCTGCTATGTTATGGTTAACAATTATTGAATGAGCCTGAACCTGATATTAAAAATTATGCAGAACGAAGTGGATAACAGACTCCGAGATCTGCGTAATACTTCATATCATTCGGTGAAAGCCGAATTCAATAATTGTTTTGCTATTCATTCAAAATATTTCCAAGCTCTTAACAAACCTTCCCTCCTCGTAGATCGACTTCTTTAAAAACATTTGCCTGATTTTCGGCACAGTTGAAGAATATGAATAATTACTACCTTTCAAACTCCTCAAAATGTAGGTGACATCCATTGAGCAATAGTTTTTGCGTATCTTACCTTTTGATTTTTTTCTGTTCAGTTTTAGTCATTTATTCGGCTAATTCGTCTTTTGATAGCTGTCGCCCGGCAGCCCAGCTGTTTTGACACATGCTAAAAAAAGCTACAGAGACGCACCGCTGCCATGGAACGAGGTTGCGATATACTATCGTATCGATAGGAGCCAACCAGAAACGAAATCTGTAAATTGGTTACATTAAACTCAATATAGGCGTTCTTTTGAAATGAGAAAATCTAAGTTTATAAGACGCAAGGTGTCAGGGGGGTTTTCAAATGAAATTGTGTATAATTTGGCTCCTTTGAGCATTTTCTTCCTGTATTTAGTTTCTTTACGGCAAAAGTGAAATCTTAAAAATGGCTGGGCAGCTTATTAGGGGACATTCTATCACGCCTATCTAAATGCATTATTGTTTTCATTGATTTTTTGTGTTCACTTTTTGTTATCTTAGATCAAAGCCATTTGGTCTGTAAGTGTCCCTTGTATTGTCTTCTCTGCACTGGTAGTTTTCTCATATTATCACTTTGGAATAGCAACGTTAGTGCTTGCGAATCACGCTCGAAGTCGGTCATTCCTTTCCTCGCGGACTGATCCTGGCTTTTTGGCCGACGACACCTCGTTGAAGTACACTGAAAAGGAAGAAGAAGCTTTGGCTGTATTTGGCATTATTGTAATATTGTCCATCTTAGAAATGATTGTCGCCGCTGCCATAGCAAAAATCAGCGACACAGGTTACCAAAGCCCACAGTCCTCTCCGATGTATTACATGTATTCCCAGGTTAGTATACGGCGTAACTACAGTGCTAACCCTATAACATGTTCATGTGCTTAAGGGGGCATTACGGGCGTTTGTTGGGGGAAATGATGTTGATTTGGGAAGGAAATGAGTTAAGGTGGAAAAGTTATACACATAAACAGTTAGTTTGCTAATGGGATCATATAGGCACCCGGCTGTGGTGGTGGACTACCTTGCCGTATTTGTCTACTAATTATTCACTTCATATTTTAAATTCTAACAACCCCGAAATCCATTATTTTCCAATTTTTCCAAAATTTTAAACATCTCCTCCCCATTTTTCATACACTAAGAACATTCGAAAAATCATCTACAAAATCTCAAAAAACTATTGAATTAAGGACTGCAACTAAATTGGCCCATTTTTTGATTAAATGAAATCGTGGCTAGATATTCAAGATATAGGGTGGACATCAACGAAAAAAAAAAATGCTTTTTACAAGACTTCCCCCTTAAATGTCTGAATGCAGTGTTAGGACACCGTGGTCATACAATTCTTCGGATAATTACAGCAGGAAACTAGTCAACCTATTTATCATTTCAGTGTATGGTGTTTAGTTAATTTATTATATCTATTTATTCTACTCAAAACCTACTAAAAAACGTCCTTAGAACTAATGTCAGATGTGGGTCAAATTCTTGTTTGGAAAGAGCGCCCAAGTTAAGAAAGCAACGAAAATCCTAGGGTGTCATCGTGTCTTTACGTCCCCCATTAAGCCATAACAGGGGCGGATCTAGGGGGAGGGTGCAGGGGGTGCGCACCCCTCCCTGAGATGACCTGCGGTTTTCTAATACAACTGGTATTCTGCAAAAAAAGAAAAAAGAAGTGTGGTTTATTGGTGTTGAAGTAGAGCAAGAGACGAGTGCACCCCCTCCTAAAAAAGATCCTGGATCCGCCCCTGCATAATAGGAAATCTATAACTTGAACGTATTAGTTTTGCAGTGAAGTTACAAAAGAACTGCAAGTTGTACAATTGCAATATCGGCACGTACAAACTTCTTGCTTGGCTTAATAAACCCATTGCTCTCTTAGACATTCTCTGTCACCTCCATCGTCAATGCTAGAAATTGGCCTATTTTGCTAAAACGAGGCCAATGAAGGAGGATCAAAGGATAGAAATAACAATGCATATTCAGTTTAAACTGTCAGTTTGTGATCGATGCCAGTGGACGTTGCTATGCTAATTAACGGAAGAATCATCATAAGCTCAAACTGAAAACTTTTTTCCTACAGCCTGGCCAAGATGGATTTTCTTTTCCACAAGGGATGCGCGAAGGGGTTGTGAATCAGAATCACCATGGAAGAGGCATTACTAATTTCGCTAGCTCCCACTAAAATCAAGGGAGTTATTGGCCAGTTTGACGCTGGGAATTTCTACAAGACCCTTAGCAATAAAACTTGTTAGAATAGGACAAGTTACTATCTGTCAAAACTACAGTAAAAACCCACATATAAGAACCTAGAATTTTTGAGGTCAGGCTGAACAGGTTCTTATATTTTAGGGTAGTTTTTCACAATTCAGGCTGATTATAGGTTCTTAATAGGTTCATATTTTTCAGAGGTTGTCGTAGTGTAACCATTCGCAGAAATATTGTATCACTAATACATAATAGTTTATGGAAAACATATTTCTCGTGAAAATCCAAACAAATGTAAATCAAAGAAAACATACAAACGGTTACTTTTTGTCAGAAGTTTCTAACACAATTAACATCCGGAATTTTAACCATCAAAATTGGAGTGATTTTTTTTGGGTAAGAACCTATTTTTCTTTGCCAGGCTGAACAGGTTCTTATATTTTTGGGTATTTAAATGCCAAATTTCAGCCTGTAGATTCTTAAATCACCAGGTTCTTATGTGCGGGTTTTTACTGTATTTGTGAATGATAGCGACATCGAAAGCTTTTAAAGACTCGAAATTCAGTCTCTGCTGCTACTATATAATCCGGAGATAATTATTGTAGGAATTCTTTTTTTCTGTTCCCTTCAAAAGAATGCTTAAAAAAGAACCTTGTTTGAAATAAAAACAAAATGTTGCCACTTCGGTAAATTTGATAATGCTCCAAAGATTCTTTTCATTTCACCAGTATCATTAGTATCTGGTAGATGGAAGGGACTGTCCATTTATTATCGTTTTTGTGTTCAACCTTCAATATTCTCAAAAACATGAATTTATAGATCTTTTAAAACCGATCATACCACCTCTAATTACTTAGACTTAACAAGAGGAACAGCTGGAAGAAGGGCTTTAGTAAAACTACGCCGATAAGCAATAAAAATAGGTAGATACAATCAAACTACGAAGTCTCCCGGAGGATAATAGGCATTGACCTTTTTGTGGATCCAATCTGATAGAAGACGAACTGTGTTCACTTTCTTTTTCGCTGTCCTACATACTCTATGATTAGGAATAATTTTTACAATAAAATCAAGACTCTGATTCCAAATATTACCTAGCTACCTGTAAACGTTTTGATCAATGAGCTGATGAACTCCTCTCAGCTACTTTATCAATATACAATTTATAAATATATTTCAGCTTTCTTTGATGTTCGTGACAAATTATTACCAAAGTAACGTAATTGCCCTATGATGTAATTTTGATTCTTAAAATAACTTTTGCAATACTGTATGTACTTATATGATCATGCATATATAACTCGTTGTTGTTTTAAATTTTGTTGTTGTCGTGTTGTCTTCATCTTTTTCACGTTATGTCCTACTCCTAATTGCTTTATCTCGATGTGAATTAAATAAAATCGTATTTTTCAATGCTTTTTCCAACTTCCATAAAAATACCGTTTTGACAGTCCTCCCGATCCTCACACTAAAATCCCATGGAATGCAGGTGGTGCGGACTTTCTGTAGCTTTAAGAGCCCATAACCCGGAGCGAGTAACTACCATACTGGGCTTATGACACAGTGTTTTTATGGACCAGTTTATTTTTAGACACATTTTAGGGCACTTTTACCCACGAAAATAGAATCTCCACCATGTCATTGAGCGCATGCGAAGTATAAGATATCAAAAAGGAAAACTAAACTATATTAAAAGGCAAAAAATATCATTTTAGGTCTGCCGGTTTTGCTGGTCAACTAGTTTGTGGAATTTTAAAGATATTCAAAATTCGCGCCAAAACCGTTCTAAAAATAAACTGGTCCTTAAAAAACGCCGTGACACGAGCGCATGGAAGTTGATCTCTCCGGATCATGGGCTCCTAGCCTTTGCAAAGAGTGCGGGTAGGGTGTTATGTTTTACATTTTATGTCCAATATGATACTCAAAATTCCTTCAAGTCTAAATAACCCTCTTCCAGACTCCAAGATAGTGGGGAAAACTGAGGGAGACATTTTACCTAGTCAATAGCTTGTGGCAACGACCTGCTTCCGGCGTCCTCACCCATTTCTTACTTCCTCTTTTAAAACCGACAGTTTTCTCTTTTATATGACGAGAGTAGTTCTTTTCTAAGCAAGTGCAACGAGTCGCATACACATTTAAAATCAAGAGATAAGACCCTGAACTCTTACCATCCGAACCAAGAGAAAGAAGAGAAACAAGGAGGTGAAAGTGAATTGTAAACTAAGGCCTGCATTTATATACGGAAGAGAAGAAAAAACAATTCAGTTCAAATTTACCCATCTGTCTTGTTATACCTGTATTTTGAAATGAAAGTGCATTAAATCTAAACAGAGCAAGAAAAAGTACGTACTTTGCGGGGGCTCTCGGCAGGTCTGAAAATTTCATTTTCTGCTAACCAGCTGGAATAAGAAATTTAGATTGGCACTATATCAGGAAATAATCAGTCTGGGAATTGCAATATTGTTGCAAAGTTTGGTGCTTGTATCAATAATCTTATAATTCTTTAGCTAACAAGCCGCCGGAGA